GAGTTCCAATTATGAGGACCCATCATTACTGGTCACCAGTGGCTTGTAGGTGACTTCTTAAACACATCACTGTGGGCCAATGACTGACACCATAATGGGAGACCCACATATATGCTGGCACGCCTGGAATGACGATGCCAGCAATGTTGCCTTGTGTGCACATTGTTCCCATCTATTCAGTGCCAGTCTTGTAAAAATCTAGGATCAGCAGCACAATGGAGAGAACATGAGACATGACCACCTATTCATCTTACTGTATGTGGAACTATTACACCAGTGGTCTCTAAACTGCGGCCCGGGGGCCAGATCCGACTCTTTGCTTGCCTTTATCCGGCTCTTGGGGCACTATTTCATTCACCAACAATGGTGCACAGTTCCTGCCAATGACACCAACAATGGGGCCCAATGACACTAATGATGGGGCACAATTCCTGCCAATAATGGAGCACAATTCCTCTCAATGATACCAATGATGGGGCACACTTACTCCCAATGATACCAATGATGGGGCACTATTCCTCCCCATGACACCAACAATGGGGCCCAATGACTCTTATGATGGGGCACAATTCCTACCAATGATGGGGCACAATTCCTCCCAAGGATATCAACGATGGGGCACTATTCCTCGCACTGATACCAATGATGGGGCACTATTCCTACCAATGACACCGATGATGGGGCACTATTCCTCCACTGATACCAATGATGGGGCACTATTCCTACCAATGACACCGATGATGGGGCACTATTCCTCCACTGATACCAATGATGGGGCACTATTCCTACCAATGACACCGATGATGGGGCACTATTTCCACTGATGATGGGGCACTATTCCTACCAATGACACCGATGATGGGGCACTATTTCCACTGATGATGGGGCACTATTCCTACCAATGACACCGATGATGGGGCACTATTTCCACTGATGATGGGGCACTATTTCCACTGATGATGGGGCACTATTCCTACCGATGATAGGGCACTATTTCTGCCAATGATGGGGCACAATTCCTCCCAATAACATCAACAATGGAACACTATTCCTACTGATGATGGGGCACTATTCCTACCAATGACACCAATGATGGGGAACTATTCCTCCCAATGACATAACCAATGGGGCAAAATTTCTCCCAATCACACCAGTGATAGGAAAATATTCCAACCAACGATAGGGCACTATTCCTCTCAATGACATCAACCATGGGGCACTATCCCTACCGATGACACCAATAATGGGACACTATTCCTCCCAATGACTTTAACAATGGGGCAAAATTTCTCCCAATCACACCAATGATGGGACACTATTCCGACCAATGATGGGACACTATTCTGACCAATGATGGGGCACTATTCCGACCAATGATGGGACACTATTCCGACCAATGATGGGGCACTATTCCGACCAATGATGGGACACTATTCCGACCAATGATGGGACACTATTCTGACCAATGATGGGGCACTATTCCGACCAATGATGGAACACTATTCCGACCAATGATGGGGCACTATTCCGAACAATGATGGGGCACTATTCCGACCAATGATGGGACACTATTCTGACCAATGATGAGACACTATTCCGACCAATGATGGGGCACTATTCCGACCAATGATGGGGCACTATTCCGACCAATGATGGGGCACTATTCCGACCAATGATGGGGCACTATTCCGACCAATGATGGGGCACTATTCCGGCCAATGATGGGGCACTATTCCGGCCAATGATGGGGCACTATTCCGACCAATGATGGGACACTATTCCGATCAATGATGGGGCACTATTCCGACCAATGATGGGGCACTATTCCGACCAATGATGGGACACTATTCCGACCAATGATGGGACACTATTCCTACCAATGACACCAAGGATGGGGCATTGTTTACTCCAACTGATGCTGGGATGTTTTCTACTCCTGGTGGCCACATTGTGGCCCCTCTAATGTCTGAAGGACAGTAAAGTGGCCCTTTGTTTAACAAGTTTGGAGACCCGTGTATTACAGTGTAGGAACCATCAGAGGTGATGTCACACAGATCTGCTTTCTCAGGGAAGTATGGGTGAAGTTCGGTGAATTGGCTCCCAGGTATTGGATTTCCCATTCATCCATTATAATATATAAATCCTGCTCATTGTTCGGTGTAGGAGGTTCGGAAACTGATCGTCCAATACGAGGTCTCCAAATACCAGTATGAAGACGGCTTTGTTTTTTATTATTTTCTGCAAAAAAAGCAGAAATGAAAACTGACGTCAACGAGAGTCATTCTACCACCAATGGGATCCTCCCTCACTGAACTCCAGGTCATTGTTTTAGATCATCAGAGCCCCCCTCCATCAGTCCCCTTACATGAGAATCCTTATAAATTATTAATTTAGGTCTGGTTCGCATCGCATGCGGTCCAGTGTGGCTTTTTTTCTACAACAAAAATGCATGGATAGTGGGTTATATGGATTCCAGTGGCATAGGTCGCGCCAGTTACGGTCAGTTCCAGAAAAAAAAAGTAGAATGTGCTGCATTTTCTCTGCGCTGAACCGTACTGGAATGTGGTAAAATGCATAAAAAATGCATCTAAACACACCAAAAATGCACTGGAATGCACATGTCCTTATTACAGTGAAGGAAAAAAAAAAAGGTAAAAAAATGCACCAGAACGCATCAAAAATGCGCAAGAATACAAATGTCCTTATTGCAGTGAAAAATAGGGGCCAAAAATGCACCAGTATGCAGATGTCCTTATTACAGTGGGGAAAAAGGGGGGGGGGGGGGGGGGGGGGGGGGGGGCGGGGTGGAATGCACCGAAACACATCAAAAATGCACATGTCCTATTACAGTGAAAAAAAAAAAAGGGGAAAAATGCACCGGAATGCATAAAAAATGCACCAGAATGCAGATGTCCTTATTACAGCGGGGGAAAAAAAGGAGGAAAATGCACCGAAACGCATCACAATGCACCAGATAGCAGATGTTATTACAGTGAAAAAAAACGGGTAAAACGCACCGGAACGCATCAAAAATGCACCAGAATGCACATGTCCTTATTACAGTGAAAAAAAATAGGAGACAAAAATGCACCGGAACGCAGCAAAAAATGCGCAAGAATACATATCCTTATTACAGTGAAAAAAAAAGAGGGAAAAAAATGCACCGGAATGCATCAAAAAATGCACCAGATTGCATCAAAAGTGCACAGGAATAAACATCCTTATTACATTGAAAAAAAGGGTAAAATACACCGGAACCCATCAAAAAATGCGCAAGGATACACATGTCCTTATTACAGTGAAAAAAAGGGGGAAAAATGCACCGGAACACATCAAAAATGCACCAGATGCAGATGTTCTTATTACAGCAGGAAAAAAAAGGAGGAAAATGCACCAAAACGCATCAAAAATGCACCAGATAGCAGATGTTATTACAGTGAAAAAAAAGGGGTAAAACACACCGGAATGCATAAAAAATGCACCAGAATGCACATGTCCTTATTACAGTGAAGGAAAAAAAAAAAGGTAACAAAATGCACCAGAACGCATCAAAAATGTGCAAGAATACACATCCTTATTACAGTGAAAAAAAAAGGAAACAAATGCACTGGAACGCATCAAAACTGCACCAGAATGCATGTCCTTATTACAGTGGAAAAAAAAGGGGAAAAAATGCACCAGAACGCATCAAAAATGCGCAAGAATACACATGTCCTTATTACAGTGAAAAAAAAAGAGGAAAAAAAATGCACTGGAAACGCATCAAAAATGCACCAGTATGGAGATATCCTTAATACAGTGAAAAAAAAGAGGAAACAAATGCACTGGAACGCATCAAAACTGCACCAGAATGCATGTCCTTATTACAGTGGAAAAAAAAAGGGGAAAAAAATGCACCAGAACGCATCAAAAATGGCAAGAATACACATGTCCTTATTACAGTGAAAAAAAAGAGGAAAAAAATGCACTGGAACGCATCAAAAATGCACCAGTATGGAGATATCCTTAATACAGTGAAAAAAAAGAGGAAACAAATGCACTGGAACGCATCAAAACTGCACCAGAATGCATGTCCTTATTACAGTGGAAAAAAAAGGGGAAAAATGCACCAGTATGGAGATATCCTTATTACAGTGGGGAAAAAGGGGGGGGGGATGCACCAGAACACATCAAAAATGCACATGTCCTTATAACAGTGAAAAAAAAGGGGGGAAATGCACCGGAACGCATAAAAAATGCACCAGAATGCACATGTCCTTAATACAGCGGGGAAAAAATGCACCGAAACGCATCAAAAATGCACCAGAGCACACCAAACATGCGCACGCAGAAAGGCATCCGGACTGTGTTTTTATGGCGTGAAGGCAGAGAAGGCATGGCGACACCAATCTCTGCGTCATTGTGCGTGGGCGTGGAGTACTCGGGGGGGGGGGGGGGGGGGCGGGTCCATGACACCCTGCAGTCTGGACACTGGAGGGAGGTCATTCAACCTGGAGGACTGAGGACACCTACTGGCAGTACGGGATTACTACACACCATGATGGACAGGGAGGGAGTTGGTATGATCCAGATGATTTGTTTTTCTGAAATTGGGGGCCTTCAATTATTTATTAATATAGAATATACATTTGTATCATTTAAATATATTCATTCGTAACAACTTTATTCAAGGAGTTTAAATGAACGATATTATTAATGACGTAATACATGTGATGTAACTGTAACGGAACGTCATCTCTCCCATGTAGATTTACATACACATCACAATATAACATGTGTCACATATTTACATACATGTCACATTAAGACAGGCCCCGCCCCTCTATGCGCGCCAGCGACAGTCACGTGTTTCATCTCTCCCGCCCCCGTCTCGGCGTGGCTCCGCCTTTCCGCCCCGCCCAGCGACAGACGCGTGACGCCAGCGCGCTGTCCGGTCTCGGGGCGAACCGTTGGTGAGCGGCGAAACCGGAAGTATCACCGGGAGACCCAGAGCAGCGCTCATGGGGCTGTCGGGGAGTGACGATTTCCACACCGCAGGGGGCGAGGAGGAAGTGGTCAAATACAAGGTACGAAGCCGGTGTAAAGGGCGCTTCCGGTATGGCGCGTGACGTCAGTCAGCGCGCCGGAAATGATTACTGTTGCCATGTGTACTGTGTGTAGGATTAAATATGGCGGTGTATTGGGGGCGCACGCTGTTCTGAGCCCCTGAGGAGGGCGACACTGAGCACTAGTATACAGGTCTGCTCTACAGGGAGGAAATGTAGATCAGTGTGAAGAGCAGGCCTGAAGCCAGAGGATGAGGAGGACCCTTCCCTAAACTGGGACGGCTCCTGTTTATAAACCCATCCACAGCATTGTGTGACAGAACGGAGCTGGTGACCCCATTGGATGGATTGAAGCTCCCTTCCTGTCTGGCTAACCCATCCCTATGCTGATTAGAATGTGCTCTGCTGCTGTCTGCATCTCTGAGGACAGATATATATATATACTGCATGTTGAAATGTGTTTGTATTACAAAATATATGAAAAATATTTTTAAAAATACATTTCAAATATACTGAATGTCTTTAACCATTTCAATACCGGGCACTTTTACCCCCTTCCTGCCCAGGCCATTTTTCAGGTTTCAGCGCTCTCACACTTTGACAATTGCGCGGTCATACAACATTGTACCCAAACTACAATTTTATCATTTTCTTCACACAAACTAGAGCTTTCTTTTGGTGATATTTAATCACCGCTGGGGTTTTTATTTTTTGCTAAATTAACAAAAAAAGACCGAAAGTTTTGAAAAAAAACACGTTTTTCTTTGTTTCTGTTATAAAAGTTTGTAAATAAATAATTGTTTTTCATAAGTTTAGGCCGAGATGTATTCTGCTACATGTCTTTGGTGAAAATAACCCAAATCAGGATGTATTATTTATTTTGTAGGAAAGTTATAGAGTTCACAAACTATGGTATAGATCTGAATATTGATCAATCCTGAAGTACTGACGGCCAATCTAATTTCTTGAGGTCCAAGAATGTCAGAACAGTACAGAAATCCCCCAAATGTCAGGACAGTACAGATATCCCCCAAATGTCAGGACAGTACAGATATCCCCCCAAATGTCAGGACAGTACAGATATCTCCCAAATGTCAGAACAGTACAGATATCCCCCCAAATGTCAGGACAGTACAGATATCCCCCCAAATGTCAGAACAGTACAGATATCCCCCCAAATGTCAGGACAGTACAGATATGTCAAATGTCAGACAGTACAGATATCCCCCAAATGTCAGAACAGTACAGATATCCCCCAAATGTCAGAACAGTACAGATATCCCCCCAAATGTCAGGACAGTACAGATATCCCCCCAAATGTCAGGACAGTACAGATATCCCCCCAAATGTCAGGACAGTACAGATATCCCCAAATGTCAGAACAGTACAGATATCCCCCCAAATGTCAGGACAGTACAGATATCCCCCCAAATGTCAGAACAGTACAGATATCCCCCCAAATGTCAGAACAGTACAGATATCCCCCAAATGTCAGGACAGTACAGATATCCCCCAAATGTCAGAACAGTACAGATATCCCCCAAATGTCAGAACAGTACAGATATCCCCCCAAATGTCAGGACAGTACAGATATCCCCCAAATGTCAGGACAGTACAGATATCCCCCAAATGTCAGGACGGTACAGATATCCCCCCAAATGTCAGGACAGTACAGATATCCCCCAAATGTCAGGACGGTACAGATATCCCCCAAATGTCAGAACAGTACAGATATCCCCAAATGTCAGGACGGTACAGATATCCCCCCAAATGTCAGGACAGTACAGATATACCCCCAAATGTCAGAACAGTACAGATATCCCCCCAAATGTCAGGACAGTACAGATATCCCCCAAATGTCAGAACAGTACAGATATCCCCCAAATGTCAGAACAGTACAGATATCCCCCCAAATGTCAGGACAGTACAGATATCCCCTCAAATGTCAGGACAGTACAGATATCCCCCCAAATGTCAGGACAGTACAGATATCCCCCAAATGTCAGGACGGTACAGATATCCCCCCAAATGTCAGGACAGTACAGATATCCCCCAAATGTCAGGACGGTACAGATATCCCCCAAATGTCAGAACAGTACAGATATCCCCCAAATGTCAGGACGGTACAGATATCCCCCCAAATGTCAGGACAGTACAGATATCCCCCAAATGTCAGGACAGTACAGATATCCCCCAAATGTTAGAATAGTACAGATATCCCCCAAATGACCCCTATTTGCAGAGTAGACAGTCCGACGTACTTCATAAGAGGCATGGCGCGTTTTTTGAAGTATTTTTTTTGTCATAAATTTTTGGAAAATGAAAAAATTAAAAAAATAATTTTCACTATTTTTTTTTTACATATTGTCACCAGTGCAGTACAGCCTCATCATATAACTGGCATGGCGGTGAACAGGGACACTGACTGGTGACAGTATGAAAAAAAAAAATATATATATATATTTTTTTTTAATTTTTTTTTTTTTTTTAAGATTTTTTTTTCATATTTTACTATGATGACAAAGTAGTACAATGTTACCATAGTAACATTGTACTACTTTGCAGAAGTGATCAGTTTTTTTTTTTTTTTGTGCTTAGCTGTGATTTGGCCACAGCTAATCACATGACATGTGCATGTGACCTGCTGTGACCATTCACAGCTAGGCACTAGTATATAATGGATGGCATGAATGAAGCCATCCATTGTATACAACTGTCATGTGACCTGCTGTGATTGGTCACAGCAGGTCACATGGTACCAGCAACGGGGGCCAGTACTCAGATCTGTCATTTTTGCTGCCGCCAAACGGCTATAGGGCAGGCGGCTAATGGTTAAATATACATATTTACATTTTTGGAATGGATTTACAAATATATGTTAAAATGACTTTTTGTGATGTTAAAAAAAAATCTGAAGAATATACAGGTGAAACTCGAAAAATGAGAATTTGGTGCAAAAGTTCATTTATTTCAGTGCAGCAACTTAAAAGGTGAAACTAATATATGAGACTCATTACATGCAAAGCAAGATAGTTCAAGCCGTGATTTGTCATCATTGTGATGATTATGGCTTACAGCTCATGAAAACCCCAAATCCACAATCTCAGAAAATGAGAATATTACATGCAATCAATAAAACACGGATTGTACATAGAACAATATCGGACCTCTGAAAAGTAGAAGCTGCATATGTACTCAGTACTTGGTTTGGGCCCCTTTTGCAGCAATTACTGCCTCAATGCGGCGTGGCATGGAAGCTATCAGCCTGTGGCACTGCTGAGGTGTTATGGAAGACCAGGATGCTTCAATAGCGGCCTTCAGCTCTTCTGCATTGTTCGCTCTCATGTCTCTCATCTTTCTCTTGGCAATGCCCCATAGATTCTCTATGGGGTTCAGGTCAGGCGAGTTTGCTGGCCAATCAAGCACAGTAATCCCATGGTCATTGAACCAGGTTTTGGTGCTTTTGGCAGTGTGGGCGGAGCCAAGTCCTGCTGGAAAATGAAGTCAGCATCCCCATAAAGCTCGTCTGTGGAAGGAAGCATGAAGTGCTCCAAAATGTCCTGGTAGACGGCTGCAGTGACCCTGGACTTAATGAAGCACAGTGGACCAACACCAGCAGATGACATGGCTCCCCAAATCAACACAGACTGTGGAAACTTCACACTGGACTTCAAGCATCTTGCAGTGTGTGCCTCTCCATTCTTCCTCCATACTCGGGGTCCTTGGGCCTCTCCATTCTTCCTCCATACTCTGGGTCCTTGGGCCTCTCCATTCTTCCTCCATACTCGGGGTCCTTGGGCCTCTCCATTCTTCCTCCATACTCGGGGTCCTTGGGCCTCTCCATTCTTCCTCCATACTCGGGGTCCTTGGGCCTCTCCATTCTTCCTCCATACTCTGGGTCCTTGTGCCTCTCATTCTTCCTCCATACTCGGGGTCCTTGTGCCTCTCCATTCTTCCTCCATACTCTGGGTCCTTGGGCCTCTCCATTCTTCCTCCATACTCTGGGTCCTTGTGCCTCTCCATTTCCTCCATACTCTGGGTCCTTGGGCCTCTCCATTCTTCCTCCATACTCGGGTCCTTGGGCCTCTCCATTCTTCCTCCATACTCTGGGTCCTTGGGCCTCTCCATTCTTCCTCCATACTCTGGGTCCTTGGCCTCCCATTCTTCCTCTATACTCGGGGTCCTTGTGGCCTCTCCATTCTTCCTCCATACTCGGGGTCCTTGGGCCTCTCCATTCTTCCTCCATACTCGGGGTCCTTGGGCCTCTCCATTCTTCCTCCATACTTCCTTGTGCCTCTCCATTCTTCCTCCATACTCGGGGTCCTTATGCCTCTCCATTCTTCCTCCATACTCAGGGTCCTTGGGCCTCTCCATTCTTCCTCCATACTCAGGGTCCTTGGGCCTCTCCATTCTTCCTCCATACTCGGGGTCCTTAGGCCTCTCCATTCTTCCTCCATACTCTGGGTCCTTGGGCCTCTCCATTCTTCCTCCATACTCGGGGTCCTTGGGCCTCTCTATTCTTCCTCCATACTCGGGGTCCTTGGGACTCTCCATTCTTCCTCCATACTCGGGGTCCTTGTGCCTCTCCATTCTTCCTCCATACTCGGGGTCCTTGGGCCTCTCCATTCTTCCTCCATACTCTGGGTCCTTGGGCCTCTCCATTCTTCCTCCATACTCGGGGTCCTTGGTTTCCAAATGAGATGCAAAGGTTGTCTCATCAGAAAAGAGGACATTGGACCACTTAGCAACAGACCAGGTCTGTTTTTCTTTAGCCCAGGTAAGAGGCTTCTGACGTTGTTTGTTGTTCAGGAGCGGCTTGACAAGAGGAATACGACATTTGAAGCCCATGTCCAGGATCTGTCTGTGTGTGGTGGCTCTTGATGCACTGACTCCAGCCTCAGTCCACTCCTTGTGAAAGTCCCCAACACTTTTGAATGGCCTATTCCTGACAATCCTCTCCAGGCTGCGGTCATCCCTGCTGCTTGTGCAACTTTTTCTTCCACACTTTTCCCTTCCACATAACACTCTATTAATGTGCTTTGATACAGCACTTTGGGAACATTCAACTTTTTGCAATTCCCTTTTGAGGCTTTCCCTCCTTATGGAGGGTGTCAGTGATGGTGTCAGGTCAGCAGTCTTTCCCATGATTGTGATTCCTCCTGATCCAGACTGAGAGACCATTTAAAGGCTCAGGAACCCTTTGCAGGTGTTATGGCTTAATTATCTGATTAGAGTGGGACACTTTGAGCCGAGAATATTTCCACCTTTTCACAATATTCTCATTTTCTGAGATTGTGGATTTGGGGTTTTCATGAGCTGTAAGCCATAATCATCACAATGATGACAAATCACAACTTGAACTATCTTGCTTTGCATGTAATGAGTCTATCTCATATATTAGTTTCACCTTTTAAGTTGCTGCACTGAAATAAATGAACTTTAACACCATATTCTAATTTTTTGAGTTTCACCTGTATATTCTTCAGATTTTTTTTAACATCACAAAAATTCATTTTAACATATATTTGTAATTGCATTCCAAAAATGTAGATTTGTATTTTTAAAGACATACAGTATATTTGAAATGTATGTTTAAAAATGTTTTTCATATGTTTTGTAATAACACATTTCAACATACAGTGTGTGTGTATATATATATATATATATATATATATATCCCTTTTGTTTTTTTTTTATTTTAAATATATTGAATATGGCCAAAATTGTAGCATTTCAAAAATATGTCAATATATTTGGGAAGAATATTTTTAAAATATATTTCAAATATATTTTTCTGGGAAGTAATATCAGTACAGTGAGTGCCTGGTCACACCGGTGCGATTTGGAAATTGAAGTCGCATCTAATGAATGTGAATGTCAGAGTCTTAATGTGCGATTTGCTAGTAGTTCTTGCATGACTTTTTCTGCAGTTTTGTTGCAATTTCACTTACATAGAATACAATGGAAATCGCACTGCAAATTGAAGAAATCATTAAAATTCTTCACAAGTAGCAAGAAAGTCTTCAGAAATCGCCCTAAAATTGGCCACAAATCACGTGATTTTAAATCGCAGCGGGTGACGGGTGACAAAAGGCGCCTGTACATCTGTGCAAGACTGGAGGGAAGGCCGGAGGTCAAATTTGAAGCTTACAATTTTTTTTTTTTTTTTTTTGTGATTGGGTTTTATTTACCTACAAAAAAAATGTCCAGTCAGTCACACTTTATGTCACATTGTGAACAGACTTTTACTTTGCTACGATAAATCTTGTCATTCCCAAATGTTATTCTCTAGGCAGTAATGAGATATTTCTTGTATATAATAACATTTCTATATTTATGAATCCTTAGATATAGTGATCCCTCCCGGTGAGCACCCTCTTCAGTACCGCTATACCTTCTGGTATTCTCGCAGGACTCCCTCCCGGCCGGCAAGCACACTGAACTATGAGCAGAACATCCGTCAGTTTGCCACAGTGGCCACAGTAAGAGCAGACCACCTACCTTATAGTCCTTCTGTTACACGGTTTATTGTGTATTCAGGGATGAATGCATAGAAGCATAGAAAAGTGACAATAGAAAAAGACATCGAGTCTACCCATTTTTTTTTGTGAGGGGGTTTTTTTTGTTTTGTTTTTTTTTTTTGGGGGGGTTGTTAACTTTTTTTTTGAGTACATGAAAATGTTTGAGCCTGGTAATACCGAACAAATAAGGGCCCATGTACACTGCAGCTGATAAACTCACGTTTAGGAGCTGTTCAGCGTTTTTTTCAGCAGCCCCTGAACTCTCCCTAACGTTTTCCTATGTGTCCGTGTACACATCGATGTTTACAGTCGTTTACAGGCAGTTGAGTTTACAGTCGTTTTTTTTGAACGCACCAAACTTGCATTCAGCAGTTTTTTTTATCAGCTTTTCAAACACTTGTAAACGTGGCAAATCGTGTTTATAAGCATTTGCGGTTGAACTTTTTTTTTTAACTCTTCCAGTTCCCGATGCTGTCAAGAGCCTTTTTTCATCATGAAAAATGCATGCAAAGTGTTTTCAAGGTACTCAAATGGACAAAACACTGAACACAGTATGTTCCTACCAAGCTTGTCACACATGGTAATGACCAATTCACACCTCAGACCTCTCCCACCCTTGGAAACAATAGATATGTTAATTACCATTCACACCTCAGACCTCTCCCACCCTTGGAAACAAAAGATATGTTAATGACCTTTCACACCTCAAATTCCTCATGAAGACCCCCTGCCAGGCTGCCATAATGACTCCCTCCACCAGACACCTCTCCCACCCTTGGAAACAAAAGAAATGTTAATGCCCATTCACACCTCAGACCTCTCCCACCCTTGGAAACAAAAGAAATGTTAATGCTCCTTCACACCTCAGACCTCTCCCACCCTTGGAAACAAAAGATATGTTAATGACCATTCAATTCTCAGACCTCTCCCACCCTTGGAAACAAAAGAAATGTTAATGATCATTCACACCTCAGACCTCTCCCACCTTTGGAAACAAAAGATATGTTAATGACCAGTCACACCTCAGACCTCTCTCAACCTTGGAAACAATATATATTAATGACTATTCACACCTAAGACCTCTCCCACCCTTGGAAACAAAAGATATGTAATGACCATTCACACCTCAGTCCTCTCCCACCCTTGGAAACAAAATATATGTTAATGATCATTCACACCTCAGACCTCTCCCACCCTTGGAAACAAAAGATATGTTAATGATCATTCAGACCTCTCCCACCCTTGGAAACAAAAGATATGTTAATGACCATTCACACCTCAGACCTCTCCCACCCTTGGAAACAAAAGATATGTTAATGATCATTCACACCTCTGTAGACTTCTAATCCCCCCCACCCCCATGTAATGATGATGAAGAGAGGAAGATATGGTTGTAGTCCAGTTCTGGAGAGCAGCCTAGGGTGTAATTGCTCCTCCTCCAGAGATACAATACAGTGAGACAATGTTGTCACCCTAGAATAAGAGGTGTCACTGTCAGGATCACTAGGTGAGAATAAAGGGGATAGAAGCCTGACGTGTCTGTCCTTTGCAGGTGGAGCAGTTCTGGAGGGTGTACAGCCATCTGGTGCGTCCCGGAGACCTGAGTGGGTACAGCGACTTTCATCTCTTTAAAGAGGGCATCAAGCCCATGTGGGAGGTAGGTGGAACAAGTGAGATGATGAGTTGAATTGTCAAAAGTAGCTGTGAGGCACAATAGAAGGTCTCTTCTGAACACTTACAGCCCCCTTCCCTGTGGCACTTTGTCTCAGGGACAGGGGCGGACTGACCATTCGAGCACTTGGGCGCTGCCCAAGGGCCCGGGGTCAGTAGGGGGCCCCATGAAATGCCCCTGGTACCTTTTATAGGCTTTTTTTGGTGTGCTTTGAGTGTGGGCAAGGACACAGGGGCCCGATGATCCCCTATTGCCCGGGGGCCCCATGAGTTGTCAGTCCGGCCTTGTTCAGGGGGTAATGCTTTTTGACTGAAAAACGCGTTTACACCCAGCACTTGGATGTTGCCAGTCTGCAGGATGGTTTCCTATGCCTGGAGATCAATAATCTGCAGTCTGCTTTAGAACTAGGAACACGCAGATGTCCACACTCCTAGGTATAAGGCCACGCTATCACTGGCAGCCACTGGTCTACATTAATGATGTCACTGTACCTCCACAAAGGGTTCAAAATGTCAAATGTTTAACCCCTTCACGCCTAAGGGTAAAACAAATCTAAATGCCTAAGCACAATTCTGCAACGTTGACCTGTGTTAGTAAAACCGTCCATATCATCACAACTACTTTGTACATCCAGGTGGATTATACTTTGATTTTTGCAGGACAAATTGGGCTTTCATTTGGTAGTAAATAGTAATGGATATCTCCTGATTTTTTTTTTATCAAAGGAAAACTGGCCCAAAATAGTAAAAAAAAAAAAAATTTTTTTTATTTAGCTGTGTGTTTCTTGTTACGACCATAACCTACCACCAAAGAACAACCCAAAATAAATTCTCCAGCTCCTGACGATCGCAGCGATACCACATATGTGTATGTTATTTGTTGTTTGTACCCGGAGTACAGCCCAGAAACAATAGTGCGTATTTTGTTTTTGTCTTTTTTTTTTTTTACCTAAAACACACTGACACCAATTATTATTATTTTTTTTTTACAATTTCTGACCTTTGACCCTGGCCTTGACCCAAACACTAACCCTGGCACTGAACTAGATCAAACCTTGTTCTGGGTATTTTTCTTTTCTTTTTTTAATATTTATCTTTTTTTTTTTTTTTTTTTACAAATATTTTTTTTTTTCTCTCTATGCCAGGAGTTAGAGAGATACAATGTATAATAGGATGTATATAATGATACAATGTATAATGGAGTGTATATAATGATACAATGTATAATAGAATGTATATAATGATACAATGTATAATATGATGTATATAATGATACAATGTATAATGGAGTGTATATAATGATACAATGTATAATAGGATGTATATAATGATACAATGTATAATAGAATGTCTATAATGATACAATGTATAATAGAATGTATATAATGATACAATGTATAATGGAATGTATATAATGATACAATGTATAATAGGAATAGGATGTATATAATGATACAATGTATAATAGGATGTATATAATGATACAATGTATAATGGAGTGTATATAATGATACAATGTATAATGGAGTGTATATAATGATACAATGTATAATAGAGTGTATATAATGATACAATGTATAATGGAGTGTATATAATGATACAATGTATCTCTCTTCTCCATTCATAGAGAGAGAGAAAAGCAACGGGGCCGGGCTGTACAGTGACTGATCCCTGTGATAGCCAATCAGAGGCTATCGCAGCGATCATGTGACCCGGAATCGGGAGTCCCGGGTCTGATCGTTAGAACGGGACTTGGGGCTCTCAGTGACACCATGGTCTTTGTGCTGGGAGCACGCAGTGCGGTGTGCTCCAGCACTAAGACAGGTACGCAAATATTCGGCCCCACGGAAAAAAGCCCAGTTCCGTGAGGCCGCATATTTGTGTGACGTCGGCGTCAAGGGGTTAAGTAAAAGCTGTTACATGTGAAAAGTAAGGTAACATATTTTTATCATTCTTGTCCATTATTATAAAAGGAAAAAAAAAACCCAGAGTATGGTATTTACTGTATTTTCCAGCGTATAAGGCTTCTTTTTATACTTAAAAACATACCCCAAAATTTGGGGGCCATCTTATACGCGGGGTATACAATGTGAACCTTTAGTTTCGTTTGGGCCAAGCTGGCTCCAAACGAACGTCCCTAATCTGTCATCGCGCTGGATGTGCGGTAATACTGTACGGTAGCTTCGGCTACACCTCCGCACATCAGTGTGAACCCGGGCTAAGGGTGTAAACAGAATAAATGCACTTTGCTGGAAGTACACGTATCCTTTACCTCTCTGCAGACTTTATTTACAATCTATTTGGCAGATAAGGCAATTTACAGAGCATAACACTAGGTAACGAACGTTGGGGTGTTGTGGTACCTAACGCCCCTCAGTCTTACATTGGATCTTGCATTTATATATATTTACATATGACCTAAATATTGCTTTATTTTCTCAGCATATTTAATATTTGTGCTTTGTATTATCCAGTTAACACTCCCCGTATTATATTTACTGGGGTAATACTGGACATGTGCATTTGATTATTTTTAGTTAACCATGTTGATTTTTACCGCTCTTAGATTACATCTCCTAAATGGGCATGTAAGTACTGGTGGATTCACTAGTCCATGTGAGGATATGTACTACATGTGCATCCTTAATAGGACGCTGCAGACAGGACAACTCTCTCTCTGTCATCTCTCTATGCAATTATTCAGACTGGTGACACATAGCTTCGATTCACACAGCCTTACAGCTGTTATCAGGCTAAAGATCCAATGGAAAATGGCGCGGTTCAGTTCGCGCATGCCCAGTTGCATCGTGTTCCGGTAAAATGGCGGCGATACGGCGCGCATGCGCAGTTACTATATATAGCGGCGATCACCATTACAGCGGTGTTGATCCCCCTCTGAAGACGTGCTTTAGCACGAAAGGCTTCAGGAGGCTCAACACGCTGTGACGTCACGCCGCCGGAGCCACGAGTTGGTCCCGTGGCCATCTTAAAGAAGGGTCAGTTCACTGTCCTATGTTTTTTGACTTACTACATTGTTAATAAAGGGCATTGGGAACATACTACACTATGGGCATTTTTTTCTATTGCTTCTTTATGGAGCTATTGAGTTGCAGAGCTAGGAGAATCTTCTAGATGAAGGATACATTATCCAGAGGAAAGGAATCCCTTTAAAGGGGCGGTGGATCCATCTATCTTAAAGGAGACCCCTGGAGACTTTACCTTCACCCACATACCGCTTTGCTGCCCATCCCTAGAAGGAAGACCTCTACCCATCATACCTCTTCAAGAGGTGGATTTGTTTATGCGCATATTCTATGCACATCTGGTAAGTGCGCATTTTTACCGGTTATCCTGAGCACTCATATCCGGATCTGTTGGCTCACTTGGATGTCACTTTCATTTATATCCACGAACTCACTCACAGTCTATTTATATGATGACATATTGTTCAGCGCTGCACTTTATTATTTGTTCAATGTTGGGGTGTTGTTAACATACACACCCGCAGCGGTTCGCATGAACGGGGTGCGATTCTGATGCGGTGCGCAATTCGCACTGAATTCCGCACCGTGTCAGTGTGATCCAGGGCTAAAAGTTAGTTGCGGCAATGGGGTCTCATTAAGGTTTGCAGTGCAGGGTTGTGACGTGTTCCAGAATAGGAGGAAATTCATTGTATGCCAGAAAACCACTTCCATGTAATCAGGATCTCAGTAACAGTTTTTGTATATATCTATGTGCAGGATGAAGCCAACAAAAAAGGAGGGAAATGGATCATACGCCTAAGGAAAGGTCTGGCCTCTCGGTTCTGGGAGAACATCATCCTGGCTATGCTGGGGGAGCAGTTCATGGTGGGAGAAGAGATATGTGGAGTGGTGGTGTCTATTCGATTCCAGGTATTAACATCTCCTTACAGCACATGGCTACACAATAGATGATGGGTATAGTCCCTCCTGCTGGAAGGCCAGAAAATAGAACTGACTGGCTTCCTCTATAAACACACTGATTATTTTATGACTGCAAGCTGCTGATCCACTTTAACCTCCCTGGCGGTATTCCCGAGTGTAGCTCGGGGTAAAATTTCAATACCAAGAGCGGTAACCCCGAGCTACACTCGGGCTTACCATGCGGCGTTGCTCAGGGGGTCCCTGCAGCACTTACCTTGTCCTTTGCTCCCGCGATGTGTCCCCTGCAGCGTCCCCGGCCATCTCCTCCGGCCAATGCCGGCATCCGGCTTCTGTGTTCCGGTTCCGGTCCCTGTGACGTCGGGACGTACGGCGGGAAATTTAAAATTTTTTAAAAATTTCATTTTTGCTGTCATTGCTGTTTCAAACCATTTCACATACATTTTGTCCCGAGTGCTTTGTCCGGCGCCCTGCCTGCATTTTTACCGTTCTTTCTGCCTGGAAACTTAGAAAAGTCCATGGCGTCCAAAAAGCATCCCTTTAGGGCAAAAACGGTTTTAGACCGGCTAGAGAACAGCGATAGTAAATCAGAACCACTTGCAGAATTGAGTGATAATGATTCGTGGGGGAAATTCCTCATCAGACATTGAAAACGATTCTGCGACTTTGCTCAGTGATGTGCGAATTTGCCTCTGTATTTCACATTTCAGTGTTTTTGGTTTGATTATATTATTGAATTAAATGTATTATTATTATATTATTATTTTTTATGATTGTTTATTAAATTATAATTTATGATTTCGTGTTTCAAATTTTATCCTCCCCGGGATGTTTACTAGACTCTTGTTCGGACAGATTTCAGTGAGTTATTCCTAAAAATTACAGCCTACAATAAAAAACGACATATTTCCATGCAAATAAATGGTACCGCTTTCAGCACAAAAAATCAGAAAGAATCAGACCGCCGAGGGAGGTTAAGATGAGTAATTGTGTAGCCAGTGATTACAGATAACAGAAGGAATCCCCACATAGAAGGGGGAGGATAGAGGCATACAGTATGGAGGTCTGTTGTATGAAGGAGGACACCGCTGCATACTAGGTACATGTGCTTCATCATCAGTCACACTAGGGAATCCTTTTTTTTGATCGAACTACTCCAGTGTTTGATTCGGGCTGCCGTCTTTATCAGTCATCAGATAGGAAGCTTGAGCTGGCCGAGCATTTTAGATCAGTGTTCTCATTGCACAGCAGAAGGAAGGTGAGAGATTCTATTTAGAAACTTGCTTGATGTGCCATCATTTATTTCTGGTGGAACTTCAGCTTAACAGCTCCAGCTTTAATTTCCTTTTGGGTGTAGCAGTAATAGTAATATCCTGCAGTATTTTGAGATTATTATTATTTTTAAATTAATATTTTTAAATTATTATTATTACAGACTCCCGCCTTCCCTTTTTCAGGAAACAGAAGAAGGGCATGGGGCACTGGATCTCCTAAAGCAGAGGGTTTTTTTCATTCATGTCTTATGCAGTGTAGAAATTCCATTACCTTGTTATGCAGGACTTTTGACAGTTCTTTTCTGATCCCCATGGCTCAGTATCTAGCCTAGTCAGTGCTTCCACGTAAGAGCTAACAAACTCATTGACTATTTATACACGGACACTAATTGCAATTTAAAAAGCCACAGATGTGGGACATTAACCTCTAATTGGCATTGTAACCCGTGTGTGTCACCTCGTGTGTCTGTACCAAGGCCAAACATTCCAGGGGGCGGAGACTTCTGATCCGGGCTATTTGGGCCATTTGGGTGATTTCTGTTATCATTATGATTTAAAAAGGAGCCAAACAACTATTTGATAATAAATGGCTTCATATGATCATCATCCTTCAATAAAAGAGCATCTTTTGGCATGATCAGTCATATTTTCAATATCAATGCCAAAATTTCACAATTTCTGCAATTTTGAGCACAACTGTATCTGCAGTATGTCCCTCCCCACGTGTTAGTGTGCCCAGGAGGGACAGATGCAGCATCCAGCTCTGCTGTAAACAGCCTGTCAAAGTGTATAGCAGGCTGCAACTGTATCGAGTAGTCAGGGGCGGACTGACATCTCATGGAGCCCCGGGCAATAGGGGATCATGGGGCTCCTGTGTCCTCACCCACACTGAAACCACACCCAAAAAAGCCTATGAAAGGTACCAGGGGCATCTCATGGGGCCCCCTACTGACCCCAGGGCCCTTGGGCAGTGCCCGAGTTCCCGAATGGTGAGTCTGCCCCTGCGAGTGGTACAGGTGCAATCAGGGACGGGGTTTCTGAAGTGCAGGTCTTCTGCCTGCAGCAGGTTGGACGCTGCTCCTGTCCCTCTCAGGTGCACTGAAATGCCAAGAGGCCCTAAAGCGGAGTTCCACTCACCCTGTCGTAAAATAAAAGTCAACAGCTACAAAAACTGTAGCTGCTGACTTTTAAAAAACAGCCACTTAGCTGTCCCCGCGGTCCCACAGTGTGTCCCCCGCAGCCCCTTACACAAGCCGTCTGGTGTTCCAGGTGCCGGAATCTTCAATGTGGGCACCCGGCTGTGACAGCTTGCAGCTTCATAGCCGGGGGCCCACTGAGCATGTGTGAGTAGCGCTGCACTTCCTGAGTGGTCCCGTAGTCTTCTGGAACTTGTCACTTGTCCTAGAAGACTACAGTGGGGGGGGGAGGACAACTTCCGCCTCCAATCGTCTAGGTCAGGGGTAGGCAACCTGAGAGCCGCAGGACTACAAGTTCCATCATGCCTCTGCAAGTCATAGCTGTAACTGTCAGTTTTTGTAATCTTTGCAATGCCTCATGGGAAATGTAGTTCCACAACAGCTAGAGAGCCACAGGTTGCCTACCCCTGGCCTAGGTGATTGCAGCGGAAATGGGAGCGGGTACCTGTCAAATTTGGTTACCCTCTCCTCCCGTTCCCCAAAGGTGCCAATCCTTAATGGGGAGCGGGGGGGAGCAGTCTTTAAAGCGGAACTTCCCCTTTTGGGTGGAGCTCCGCTTTAAACAGATTCCGCATGAGTGGTGAGTGAAGGTCAGCTCTTTGATTTAGTAGGGACTGGGTGTGCAAGGAGAAACTAAACCCCTTTTGGGCAGAAACGCACCGCAGGAGAGGGTTTGGCGGTTCTACATTCTGGCTCTGTCAGTTTGCACAACTTGCAATAAAAGACTGTCGGATTTTAAGAAAAAAATGCAGCCTATTTGTTTGAATCTGAATACACCGGGGAGGAATAGATACTAGTAGGTAAGTACCCGCAGCGGGTGGATGAGAACTGTAACACCACCCGGAGCAGTAATATTCCTATGTATGTATACTGTGCAAGATGGAAAGCGCCAAAGACAGAATGTGTCCAGATTGTACAGATTTAAAGAGAAGTTTCACCCTCCCCCCTATAATGATTTTATTTGCTCCTCTACACACAGAGGATCTAATGTTGTCCTGCTGTGATCCTCTTCTCTTCAACCGCCACTGGGAACCGTGACATCATCAGTAGGCTGCGCCCAGAACCCCGAAAGAGCCGGCACAGCCTCCCGCTCCACTAGGCCAGTCCCCCTCCTCTGTTGGTGAGTGGGGTGATGTGCGTAGCTCCCGGTGCCTCCAGGGATATGCATGTCACATATTTCAGGAGGTATCGGGTCACTGACATCGTTTACCTAGGTCAGGGGTAGGCAACCTGCGGCTCTCTAGCTGTTGTGGAACTATGATTCCCATGAGGCATTGCAAAGATTACAAAACTGACAGTTACAGCTATGACTTGCAGAGGCATGATGGAACTTGTAGTCCTGCGGCTCTCAGGTTGCCTACCCCTGGCCTACGTGAATGACAGAGAATGGGGGGTCAGGCCAAAAATAAAATAGAAAAAAAACATTTAAAAAAAAAAAAAAAACACATCTGATATATGGGCAGTGGAAGGTGGATGGGTGCAGAGGAGCCAAGTAATCGGAATAGGTGAAGATCCACTTTAATTTTCTGCAGACTTCTGTATCATAAAAACACATTTCAGGGGTTCAAAGGGTTATTCTTCATCAGGGCTTGGTACTGCGGAATGTAGCATGTACTAAACTGATGAAATTGGAGGGGTTCTCCTTTTCTTTTCTTTTTTTATATAACTTTAATTGATTTTAACTTATAAAACAGACATTATTTCAAATGTTACATCACACGTTTATCATATCAAAAATTTTTTATAAAATACCTTCCCCCCCTCCTTCCCCAACCCCCCCCCACCAATCACCCAGAATCTCAATTAATCTCTTTCATCTGTCCTCCACCTCCTACCTCGCCCAATAAAAGTACCAATACCGCAGTGAAGGGAACATTCAGTCTTTCCCCCTCCCACCTTCTACATTCATTATCTGTTCTAAGTATCTCTTAGTTTTTATAATTGATCTATTTTTCCCAGGTTTTACTAAAATGTTTTATTTTTTCTTCTCCCATATGGCATCGCTCCTCCGTCCTGTACATATAGTCCACTCTGCTTATCCAATCTTTTATTTTGGGGATTTCCTGTCTCTGCCAGAATCTAGGTATCAATCTCTTAGCGGCGTTTATTAAATGAAATATTATCATGTTCTTATACTGTTTCACCAATCACAGCAGCCTTTTACCACATCACGTGATCAGCTGTGTCCATAGCGATCACGGAGATTGCCAGGTGCGCGTTCCCCGGGGGCGCGCGGGAGGGCGCGTTATGGGAGAACATCTTATGAGCCGTCATTCGGCTATCTGCGGTCGGCAAGTGGTTAAAATAATTACTTTCACTTGTATTTTTATTTAGTGATATAGTATATCTCCTTACAGATTTATTTTATTTACTATTGTGAGTCATTATGTCTGTATGAGTTTTTGCCGTGTCAGGCAATCTCCATGCGCTTGGAGCACTGACGGATTAGAACTTGCTTTGTATGACCCAACAGGAGGACATCCTGTCCATCTGGAACAAGACAGCCAATGATCAGCTGAGTACAGTCCGCATCCGAGACACCCTACGGAGAGTCCTCAACCTCCCGCCAAACACCATCATGGAGTACAAAACTCACAACGACAGTCTGAAGTAAGTTAGGACGGGTCTGAACATGAGATAATCCAGATGTGTTTGCGCTGTGCCTTGTCCACACCAGTCATTATGACATCATGCCCTAATATGAGGTGAAAATATAGACGTTGTCAATGCTTTGTGCCACAGAATTAGAGACTCTGTCACCAGACTCATATCATTTAATGTATTCATTTAATTTACCTGCAGATGCCTCCATTGGGTATTATTCCAGAAGCCCTGAGAATGCTGTTTGGTGTTGCCATCTTTGATGTGATTTCAGCAGATTCAGAGCTGTCACCTAAGTGACAGTCTATAGTATTCCCCTTCACTCCTCCCCCAGCAGCTGCATAAAGGTTTATGCAGATAGGTGAGGGGAGGGGCAGAGTAGCTGGGCCATCACAGACAGTAATTAAACACTCCCAGAAGAGGGGTGGGCTATGATGTGCCAGGAGGAATGTGCTATGGAATTGATTCTTCCTGGAGTAGTCAAATTTTCTAGCAGGTTCAAAGCCAGCTTGCCAAGTGAGTAAAAGATGTTTCTGGAAATATAAACACTGCAAGCTAGCATGTAAAATACTTGTTTCTGTGGGTTTTGCCTTTAAAGAGGCTGTAAAGGCTGAAGGTTTTTTACCTTTCTGTATTTTCTGCATGAAGGTAAAAAGCTTCTCTGTGCAGCAGCCCCCCCCCCCCCCCCCTTTCGATCCAGCGATGCGCACTGAAGTCTCGGTGTGACATTCTCTCTTGTTGATTCTGTTTGGTTCCAGCCGACGGTCGCTGCAGCACCCACTTATACACACCGCCATGTTTAACGTAGAAACGTGTGCGTTTGGATTGTACACTTGCATCCGTGTGTGAATGGACACGGAGCAGCAGCTGGGGAGTGCACATGCTCGGGTGCCCCCATAGCAAGCTGCTTGCTGTGGGGCACCTGTCAGGAGGGAGAAGCCTGGAGCGCCAGCGGGGGACCCGAGAGGAGGAGGATCTGGGCTGCTCTGTGCAAAAACCACTACACACAGCAGGTAAGTATCGACAAGTTTGTCATTTTAAAAAAAAAAAAATTAAGCCTTTATAATCACTTTAATTGGATTTTAAGTTGTTGACAGGGTCTCTTTAAGGTTGAGTATACTGTCAGCCTAAATTCAGCAAAGCCCACTTTTGGGAGGCGAGTGGTCTGTGCAGTGCCTGCTGGGAGGGTAAGCCTTAATGGAGGCTAGGAGCAGTTGCTGCTTCTAGTTCCGGTCACAATAGGTGACTTGTATGGGATTAAAAGAAAGCCCCTTGGTACACGGGTTTAGATTGTGTCTTTATCTATGGTTACCCTGGAAGGGCTCGTATACACCAGTACGCCACGCTGATTGCACATCCGCTGGTGTGGTCTGGGAACAAACGGTGCTGATCCCTCCGCATCGGATCATTTACTTTTGTTTGCTTTTTTTTTTTTTTTGCTAAGACTTTATTAAAAAGTTACAAGTGACATTCGTTAAAGCGGAACGCCACCCAAAAGGAGAAATTCCACTCTCCTGGCTCCTCCCCCTCCTCCAACACCTTTGGACATTATTTATTTATTTCAGGTCCTTATATAGCGCCATCAATTTACGCAGCACTTTACATATATATTGTACATTCACATCAGTCCCTAACCCTCAAGGGGTGTACAATCTAAGGTCCCTAACCCTCAAGGGGTGTACAATCTAAGGTCCCTAACCCTCAAGGGGTGTACAATCTAAGGTCCCTAACCCTCAAGGGGCGTACAATCTAAGGTCCCTAACTCACATTCATACATACACATACTAGGGCCAATTTAGAGAGGGGCCAATTAACCTACCTGCATGTCTTTGGTGTGTGGGAGGAAACCCACGCAGGCACAGGGAGAATATACAAACTCCAGGCAGGTGGTGCCATGGTTGGGATTCGAACCAACGACCCGAGTACTGCCAGGCGTAAGTGCTAACCACTAAGCCACTGTGCCGCCCCAATTCTTATTGTGGGGAGGAGGTACCTAGTTTTGACAGGTACCTGCTTCTTCTAGTTTGGCACCCCACTGTTTGCCCGCAGTCTTCTGGGACACGTCACAGGTCCCAGAAAGCTGTGGAACCATTCACAGAAGCCGGCTGTGAAGCCACTAGGACTCCCTGCTGACTTCCGTTAGTTAACATGCCGGGGAACTGAAGACCGGTAAAGAATCGGCCTGGGTGAGGATAGTGCTGGATCCCTGGACAGGTAAATGTCCTTATATTAAAAGGCAGCAGCTACAGTATTTGTAACTGGTGGCTTTTAATTGTCCTGGGGGGCCACTGAAGATCCTCTTTAATTTGTATTTACACTTTTTTACAGTGCGCACCACTGCATCACATAGAGAACAAGTTTTTATTTTGTTTTTGTTTTTTTTTGTCTTGTTTTGGGTTTTTTTTTTTGTTTTGTTTTTTTTTTTTTTTTTTTTTTCATCTTGTGTTGAGACTGCATTAGACAAAGCTCCCCGGTGCACCTGGTGTGAAGGAGCCCATAATGGCTGTCTGCAGTCTTAAACTCACTGTACACATTCAGTTCAAAGGTCATTCAGTGATTGGAAGCATTAACATGTATCTGAACCTAAGAACAAATATTTGATGTAGGGCAGCTTATCAGTCATTAGATGTGGTGTTGTTTGCATTGGTTTTCTTCTTTCAGGCTTTTCTTCCTTTATTTTCACCTGGTGATCCTGGCAGTAACACATTCCTGTCCTAGGGTGGCAGCGCTCACTCACTCTACTGAATCTATGAAGTAGCAGCATTGTCACCATAACATAGGACTACACCCACATGGAAGAAAAATATATTTGAAATATATTTTAAAAATACTCTTCACAAATATATTGACATATATTTTAAATACTACAATTTTGGCCTTATACAAAAAAAATAAATAAATATATATACACACACATACATATATACATACATACACATATATATATATATATATATATATATATATATATATATACACACACACACACACACACATATATATATATATACACACACACACACATATATATATATATATACACACACACGCACACACACACATATATATATATACACACACTGCATGTTCAAATGCGTTTTTATCACACAATATATGAAAAATATTTTTAAAAATACATTTCAAATATACTGTATGTCTTTAAAGTCGAAGTTCCGCTCCTCACGCTGTCAAAAAAATAAGTCAGCAGCTACAAAAACTGTAGCTACTGACTTTTAAAAAACAGCCACTTACCTGTCCCTCGGTCCCGTGGTGTGTCCCCCGCAGCCCGTTTCACCGGCCGTCCTGTATTCCAGGAGGATGGCATCTTCAGTGTGGGCACCCGGCTGTGATAGCTTGCGGCTTCACAGCCGGGTACCCACTGCACATGTGCAAGTAGCACTTTGCTTCATGAATGGTCCTGTAGTCTTCTGGGACCTGTCTCGTGTCCCAAAAGACTACAGGGAGGGAGGACACCTTCCGCTTCTGATCGCGTAGGCGATCGGACTGGAAGTGGGAGCGGGTACCTGTCAAATTCGGGTACCCGCCCCCCAAAGGTGCCAATCCTTAATGGGGAGCAGTCCTTAAAGCGGAACTTCCCCTTTTGGCTGGAGCTCCGCTTTAAAAGTACAAATCTATATTTTTGGAATGCATTTAAAAATATAATTTAAAATGACTTTTTTTATATGTTAAAAAAATGTGAAGAATATATTTTAAAAAATATATATTTTAAAATATATTCTTCAGATTTTTTTAACATATAAAAAAGTAATTTTAACATATATTTTTACACATAGTTGTAAATGCATTCCAAAAATGTAGATTTGTATTTTTAAAGGTATACAGTATATTGGAAATGTATTTAAAAAAAATATTTTTCATATATTTTGCAATAAAAGCGCATTTCAACATGCAGTGCGTATATGTATGCATATATATGTATTATATATATATATATATATATATATATATATATATATATATATATGCATTTTATATACATATATATATACATATACATACACACACACACACACATATATATACACACACATATATATATATATACACACACATATATATATATATATATATATATGTGTGTGTGTATATATATATATAATATGGCCAAAATTGTATTTCAAATATATTTTTCTTCCATAAGGGTAGAACACCTCTCTATGACATAGAGGGGCAATGTTTTTTAGTACACAGTGAAAATATAGGCAAGGTTGATAATGCTGCTTGAGATTTTAGTGCACCAAGAATAGAGAGCACAGGAAGTTAAGGGATCACTAGATTTCTGGCAGGATCAACCGTTTTGTACTTTCAGCATTGGAATAAGCATGGGGAAATGTGCTTGCTTTGTACAGGTGTACTGAATTTGTTTTTTCCTTTGCCGAGTCATACACTTTAATAAGATTTTATTTACTTTAACAGAGACAACTCAAGTTTTAGAAATACAAAACTGACTCTATAGCACTTTGCGTCTCTTCCTATACATGGGTGCGTGTCACCACACACTGTCTGGGAAGATCCATCATATTTGATCCTGGCGAACTCAGACCTGCGATCAGAGCGCGGCTCAGTTGTGCTTTCGTAGGGTCACTTTGGGAAATCTTGGAAGTGCTTCAACTCTTCACCAGGTCTCAACAGGGAAGGACCCCAGCAGTGTCAATACAACGGAGAAGAACTGTCAGCTGGGTTGTCGAAAGGTTGTTTCGAACAAATTAAATATTAAGCTGATATTTTTCTTGCAAATTAAAAAAAAAAAAGGAATTTACAATAAAATATTTTTTGTGATGTTTTCCAAAACATTTACGGACTTGTTTCTTAACTTTGAACTTTCTAAAACTGGTACGTATGCCCCACATCTTTGGGAACGTCAGTTTTCGATGCTTTACCAGCAACACCCACACAGCGAACACCAGGTAGTGATTGTTAACTAGAAGTTGTACACGGGGGAAACTGCTGTCCACCGCCTTTGAAGGGGTGCTCCGGTGCGCTGTTGAAGTGCCCCATGAAGAAGATGGCGAGGGTGCCCACCATGAAGAAGGGCAGAGCTCCCCAGAAACATAAGACGTCTATAACTTTCCCGATCATGATCCAGTTTTCCATTTCCTAGAGATGAAAAGAAGAATCTCATCACTGCTGTGCTAATTCTTAAAGCCTAACTACAGTTTTACTTTATTTTTTGTTTAGGATAGTGTGGGGAAGACATGAAAATTCTGTCTGGTTCCTATTCATAACTGCTCATTTCCTGTGCCTGTGACAACCATACAAGAAATGGATGGGGTGGGGCGCTTGTCACAAGAGCATGCAATTAAAAAAGGTATGACCTTTCCTCACTGTACATAAAACAGAAAATAGAATCAAATATTTACCATAATTTTCCTTTCCAGGCACCAATCCATAGCAGAATACATGTAGTACGCTGTCATGTTGGTGCCAAAAAAAAAATAGAAAATTGTATCAAATGCTTACTATTATTTTCCTTTCCTGGCACCATACATGTAGTACGCTGTCATGTTGGTGCCAGGAAAACGGAAACTTGTATCAAATATTTACCGTAATTTACCTTTCCTGGCACCAATTCATGGCAGTATACATGTGGGAATACGCTATCATGTTGATGCCAAGGAAAACAGAAAGTTTTATTGAATACTAACTATAATTTTCCTTCCTGGCACCACTTCATGGCAGGATACATGTGGTGTATGGTGTCATGTTGATGCCAAGGAAAACAGAAAATTGTATCAAATGCTAACTATAATTTTCCTTTCCTGGCACCAATTCATGGCAGGATACATTTGGTAGTATGGTGTCATATTGATGACAGGAAAACAGAAAATTGTATCAAATGCTAACATAATTTTCCTTTCCTGGCACCAATTCGTGGCAGGATACATGTAGAATAGTACGTGTCATGTTGATGCAGGAAAACAGAAAATTGTATCAAATACTAACTATAATTTTCTTTTCCTGGCACCAATTCATGGCAGGATACATGTGCTAGTATGGTGTCATGTTGATGCCAAGGAAAACAGAAAAATTGTATCAAATACTGACTATAATTTACCCCTCCTGGCACCAATTCATGGCAGGATACATGTGCTAGTATGCTGTCATGTTGGTGACAGGAAAACAGAAAATTGTATCAAATACTAACTATAATTTTCCTTTCCTGGCACCAATTCATGGCAGGATACACGTGGTAGTATGGTGTCATGTTGGTGACAGGAAAACAGAAAAACTATCAAATACTAACTATACTTTTCCTTTCCTGGCACCAATTCATGGCAGGATACATGTGCTAGTATGGTGTCATGTTGGTGACAGGAAAACAGAAAATTGTATCAAATACTAACTATAATTTTCCTTTCCTGGCACCAATTCATGGCAGGATACATGTAGTATGTTGTCATGTTGGTGACAGGAAAGCAGAAATCTGTATGAAATACTAGCTATAATTTTCCTTTCCTGGTACCAATACATGGCAGGATACATGTGGTAGTATGGTGTCATGTTGATGACAAGGAAAACAGAAAATTGTATCAAATACTAACTATAATTTGCCTTTCCTGGCACCAGTACACGGCAGGATACATGTGGTAGTATGGTGTCATGCTGGTGACAGGAAAACAAGATTGTATCAAATACTAACTATAATTTTCCTTTCTGGCAGGGATGGGGCTAATTCCGCATTGATGTCAGGGCATTTTCTACTTCCAATAGACAATAAACACAGTCCGGCCCCCCTAAAGTCTAAAAAAAAAGCTGTCCCTTTGTTTAGAATGTTTGGAGACCCCTGCCATTGACAGTGAAATTTAATGTAAATCCTACATTTTGGGTTGTCCCCACAAAAGTAATAAAGTGGAAATCTTTCTGTGGGGATTCCCTTAATTTGCAGGGATCTCCTCTCACTTCCTGTTTTGGCTATGGGACCTGAAGTAAAGGTAAATCTCCTCAATGGGACACAGATAGCAAAAAACAGGTGTTATAACCCTCCCTTGTGCTATCCAAGATAAAAAAAAGAACGTTTTTTCCAATAGTTCTACTAATGTTGATGTGGCAGGCCAGTAAAATGTTGCGTAGATTTCATGCAAGTCATTTCTGGCAAACCATTAGTGTGCACAGGACTCACCGCGCTGGTCTTATTCTGCTCCTTTGTGCTGGAGGTGATGAAGTTGCAGGCCTCCACACACTCCTTTATCTCCGGGGCACAGTGGGCCAGATTCTTAAATAGGGGAGTGGTCACTCCAACATCAAATCCGTCAACTGCAACAGAGAAAGATGGTTGGTTACTACCATTGACCTAAAAAAGACCACTACAGAATCCATGTCCATCACTAGATGTCTCTGCTCTCTGATCTGCCTCGTTCCTCTCAGTGGCTGGGAATGGTTTTGTGTTACACTTTGAAGAATTGTCTGCTTCCCTGCAGACTTTGAATGTCAGGTGCTAACTTCTTCTGAAGGAAGTGGTGTTGGATGTTACGGGCTACAGGAAAAACTTTATATTATTTTCTTTTTACAGGTACACTATATTGCCAAAAGTATTGGGCCAGCCCTTCAAATCATGTGATTCAGGTGTTCCAACCACCTCCATGGCCACAGTTGTGTAAAATCAAGCCCCTAGGCATGCAGACTGCTTCTACAAACATTGGTGAAAGAATGGGTCGCTCTCAGGAGCTCAGTGACTCCAAGCGTGGTCCCGTGATAGGTTGCCACCTGGGCAATAAGTCCATCCGTGACATTTCCTGGCTACTAAATATTCCACGCTCAACTGTTAGTGGGATTTATAACAAAGTGGAAGCAACTGGGAACAACAGCAACTCAGCCACCAAGTGGTAGGCCACGTAACATGACAGAGCGGGGGTCAGCGCATGCTGAATCGCACAGTGCGCAGAAGTCGCCAACTGTCTGCAGAGCCAATAGCTAAAGACCTCTAAACTTGGTGTGGCCTTCAGATTAGCACAACAGTGTGTAGAGAGCTTCATGGAATGTGTTTCCATTGTCGAGCAGCTGCATCCAAGCCTTACATCACCAAGTGCAATGCAAAGTGTCGGATGCCGTGGTGTAAAGCACGCCGCCACTGGACTCTAGAGCCGTGGAGATGTGTTCTCTGGAGTGACCAGTCACGCTTCTCTGTCTGGAAATCCGATGGACGTGTCTGGGTTTGGCGGTTGTCAGGAGAACGGTACTTGCCTGACTGCATTGTGCCAAGTGTAAAGTTTGGTGGAGGAAGGATTATGGTGTGGGGTTGTTTTTCAGGGGCTGGGCTTGGCCCCCTAGTTCCAGTGAAGGGAAATCTTAAGGCATCAGCATACCAAGACATTTTGGACAATTTCATGCTCCCAACTTTGTGGGAAGAGTTTGGGGACGGCCCCTTCCTGTTCCAACATGACTGCGCACCAGTGCACAAAGCAAGGTCCATAAAGACATGGAGGAGCCAGTTTGGGGTGGAGGAACTTGGCTGGCCTGCACAGAGTCCTGACCTCAACCTGACACAACACCTTTGGGATGAATTAGAGTGGAGACTGCGAGCCAGGCCTCCTCCCCCGACATCAGTGCCTGACCTCACAAATGTGCTTCTGGAAGAATGGTCCAACCTTCCCATAGACACCCTCCTAAACCTTGTAGACGGCCTTTCCCAGAAGAGTTGAAGCTGTTATAGCTGCAAAGGGCGGGGCCAACTCAATATTGAACCCTACGGACTAAGACTGGGATGCCATTAAAGTTCATGTGCATGTAAAGGCAGGCCGACCAATACTTTTGGCAATATAGTGTATGTCCTACCTGAGTAAATGAAGTATAATGTCAGGTTCACTTTAATCCAATCATTATGGAATACAGGGGTTGGACAAAAAATTGGAAACACTACATGATTTGCTGGTGTGAAAGTAACAACATGTTTGGCGTTGAAAGAGATCTAACATTCTTGTGTCAAAGCATGTGCTACTACAGCAGCGTATTTGCTTTTGTGGTCTTGATAATAGTACCCCAAAATATGTGCTTTCCAGAAATACACTAAAACCTCCCCACCCATTGGACTGTGACCTTTCCAAAACCTTACTTGTTATGTTGCCAGGTGTACCTTTACCACTTCAGATATAAAATGAGGCAGCCATTTTGTCATCTAAACAAATTCTTGAAAAGTCAGTTCATGGAAAACTCACAGGGACCAAATTACAAAAACTGGTGAAAAGAAAACTGGTGCTCCCCAAGCCACCAATCAAGTTCAATCTTGAAATATAGGAAGATGGCTGATTGGTTGGTCTCGGTACCTGCTCCACATTTGCTCCAGTTTTTGTATATTGGACTCTCTGTCTAGATTCTAATGGATTCCTTCTGTAGGTTATGTTGGGGTGCAGTTTGGGTCAGACCAAGTATGGTTGCTTCTGCACAAAATGGCTGCCTCTCTGCCCTGTCCTTACCTATCCGCCACCTCCACTGCCCCTTTTTGCCTTTGCGTTCTCCCTCCTCTTCACCTCTGTGGCCCTGGGAGTCCCGGCTCAGCCCGTGTCGCTCCCTCTGCCTTTCAAACATCAGTTCGCTCCGTGGTTTCTTCAGGACGTACTCCTCGGCCTTCAGCATGATCCCCAGGGAGCTCTTCCTCCTATCCTTTGGCGTCTCGCCTTCTTCCTCGCACGGCTCAATCTTCATATGGAGGTATCGCGGTAAGACCTCCAGGAGCCTCTGCAAGATGGACTCCATGTTATTCCTGGGGGCTCCAGACCCAGCAACACAATGATAACAGGCAAAAGGATTTCACAAGGCTGTAGACAATGCTGAACTTTATAAAATGCTGACTGGTTGTTCTGCTGATCTAAAGCCTTCAGGCCCAACCTGAGGAGGACAGATGAGAGAGCCAGAGACTGGGGGCAAGGTTCAAGAAACTGCTAGAGATCATGGCCAGACAGCCCCTTTACAAATAAAGGATCCCACGTGTGCTACCTAAAGCTTCCTTCATTCTCTAACCATCTCCTGTAGTTAGTCTGCAGTCTCTGACCATCTCCTGTGTTATGTCTGCAGTCTCTGACCATCTCCTGTGTTATGTCTGCAGTCTCTGACCATCTCCTGTAGTTATGTCTGCAGTCTCTGACCATCTCTTGTGTTATGTCTGCAGTCTCTGACCATCTCCCGTAGTATGTCCGCAGTCTCTGACCATCTCCTGTAGTAAGATGCAGTCTCTGACCATCTCCTGTAGTAAGCCTACAATCTCTGACCATCTCCCGTAGTATGTCTGAACAGTCTCTGACCATCTCCCGTAGTATGTCTGCATTCTCTGACCATCTCCTGTATCATGTCTGCAGTCTCTGACCATCTCTTGTAGAAAGGCTGCAGCTGCCATTATCTGCTGTACTAAGTCTGGAGTCTCTGATGAATACCCAGAATAAATCTGAAGTCTCTGACCATCTTCTGTAGTAAGTCTGCAGCCTCTGACCATCTCCTGTACTATGTTTGGAGTCTCTGACCATCTCCTATAGTATGTTTTTGTTGTATTTTAAATGCAGTCTGTGTGCCCATAGAGATTTTCTCTTTCTGCTTTGGCTTCCATCACCTGGACAGGAAGTGAGAAGAATTTCCCCTCATGGGGACGTACTGTAGTCCTGACAGATGTTGGAGTGCTATTGCTGTCTCTATCCCCATTGAGGGTCTCATTTCTTGCTCTCTTTGACCCGTCATGGAGGGATGCAGGGACAGGCTAGTGATCTAGTAATATCAGCGATGGGTGTAGCTCTGGATCCTGGGGTCAGGGGTGACAGAACTAGGAGGAACCATCATTGTATTCTGCATGCGTCAGGTCAGGTCAGGTCAGGGGCGACAGAACTAGGAGGAACCATCATTGTATTCTGCAGGCTGTCAGGTCAGGGGTGACAGAACTAGGAGGAACCATCATTGTATTCTGCAGGCTGTCAGGTCAGGTCAGGGGTGACAGATCTAGGAGGAACCATCATTGTGTTCTGCAGGCTGTCAGGTCAGGGGGTGACAGAACTAGGAGGAACCATCATTGTGTTCTGCAGGCTGTCAGGTCAGGTCAGGGGGGTGACAGAACTAGGAGGAACCATCATTGTGTTCTGCAGGCTGTCAGGTCAGGGGGTGTGACAGAACTAGGAGGAACCATCATTGTATTCTGCAGGTGTCAGGTCTGGTCAGGGGTGACAGATCTAGGAGGAACCATCATTGTATTCTGCAGGTGTCAGGTCAGGTCAGGGGCGACAGATCTAGGAGGAACCATCATTGTATTCTGCAGGCTGTCAGGTCAGGTCAGGGGTGACAGAACTAGGAGGAACCATCATTGTGTTCTGCAGGCTGTCAGGTCAGGTCAGGGGGTCAGGTGACAGAACTAGGAGGAACCATCATTGTATTCTGCAGGCTGTCAGGTCTGGTCAGGGGTGACAGAACTAGGAGGAACCATCATTGTATTCTGCAGGTGTCAGGTCTGGTCAGGGGTGACAGAACTAGGAGGAACCATCATTGTATTCTGCAGGTGTCAGGTCTGGTCAGGGGTGGTCAGGGGTGACAGAACTAGGAGGAACCATCATTGTGTTCTGCAGGCTGTCAGGTCAGGTCAGGGGTGACAGAACTAGGAGGAACCATCATTGTATTCTGCAGGCTGTCAGGTCTGGTCAGGGGTGACAGAACTAGGAGGAACCATGATTGTATTCTGCAGGTGTCAGGTCTGGTCAGGGGTGACAGAACTAGGAGGAACCATCATTGTATTCTGCAGGTGTCAGGTCTGGTCAGGGGTGACAGAACTAGGAGGAACCATCATTGTGTATACTGCAGGCTGTCAGGGTCAGGTCAAGGGGTGACAGAACTAGGAGGAACCATCATTGTGTTCTGCAGGCTGTTAGGTCAGAACTGGTCAGGGGTGACAGAACTAGGAGGAACCATATTTGTATTCTGCAGGCTATCAGGTCAGGTCAGGGGTGACAGAACTAGGAGGAACCATCATTGTATTCTGCAGGCTGTCTGTCAGGTCAGGGGTGACAGATCTAGGAGGAACCATCATTGTATTCTGCAGGCTGTCAGGTCAGGTCAGCTGGTGACAGAACTAGGAGGAACCATCATTGTATTCTGCAGGCTGTCAGGTCAGGTCAGGGGTGACAGAACTAGGAGGAACCATCATTGTATTCTGCAGGCTGTCAGGTCAGGGGTGACAGAACTAGGAGGAACCATCATTGTATACTGCAGGCTGTCAGGTCAGGTCAGGTCAGGGGGGTGACAGATCTAGGAGGAACCATCATTGTATTCTGCAGGCTGTCAGGTCAGGGGTGACAGAACTAGGAGGAACCATCATTGTATACTGCAGGCTGTCGGGTCAGGTCAGGGGTGACAGAACTAGGAGGAACCATCATTGTATTCTGCAGGCTGTCAGGACAGGTCAGGTCAGGGGTGACAGAACCAGGAGGAACCATCATTGTGTTCTGCAGGCTGTCAGGTCAGGTCAGGGGTGACAGAACTGGGAGGAACCATCGTATTCTGCAGGCTGTCAGGTCTGTGGCTGGTCTGGCACAGTGTCTGAGTCTCATCATAGGAGTAGAATAGAAGACTCTTATCAAGCCAAGTCAATGAAAACATCTGAGCATTCCGATTGGACAAATGCTTGGCTCACCCGTTTCATGGTGGCAGTCAGGTTGTGCGTGCTCGGTGTCCTCAGCGACACGTTCAGAACAATGACACAACTCAGCACAATCAGCGTAGACACGATCATCACAAATATCAGATATCTACAAAAGAAAGCAGGGTCAGGATCCAGTTCTGGGCAGGTTCTCATGCCATCAACAACCCATTCACAGCAAGGATACCAATATAAATCAGTCCAGTAGTACCTGAGAGAGGTTCTAAGTCTTCCCTACTCCATCAAAAAACAAAAAAAAGGAACATTGTATCGATACTTACCTTTCTTCTTTCCTGGCATCAATCCATGGCATCATACAGGTAGTACGCTGCCATAATGGCGCCAAGAAAAAGGTTTTGGCTTCAGATACACCTTTATTATCTACAGTGCCTTGAAAAAGTATTCATACCCCTTGAAATGTTCTACATTTTGTCATGTTACAACCAAAAATTTAAATGTATTTTACTGGGATTTTATGTGATAGACCAACACAAATTGTGAAGTGGAAGGAAAATGAGAAATGGTTTTCAAAATTTTTTACAAATAAATATCTGAAAAGTGTGGCGGCATTTGTATTCAGCCCCCCGGAGTCAATACTTTGTAGGACCCCCTTTGGCTGCAATTCCAGCTGCAAGTCTTTTTGGAGACCTTCTGGATCTTCTCTCTGCTCATGGCCTTTGTTCTCTGTTTGTCTATTGCCTTCCCTGGAACACTATAGTGTGGTCAAATTGGGAGTGTATAGTGCTTGAATGCATGATTAAGATAGTGGTCTCCAAACTGTGGCCCATGGCCCAGATGTGACCCTTTGCTTGCTTTTGTCTGGTTCTTGACACCATTCCTCCCACTGATATGAGGAACTATTCCATTGCTTTCAGTGATACTAACAATGGGGCTCTGTTCCTCCTAATAACACCATTAAAGGGGCACTGTTCCTCCCACTGACACCAATGATGCCTTCCACTGATTCCAATCAACACTATTTCTCCCACAATAATGAGGCTCTTCCTTCTACTACTGACCACAGGCATAACTTAATTTTCTCACTCCCACTGACAACCAACTGAGGCATTATTTAATCCCACAATCTGAAATAAACCATCCCACTGCTGCCATCATTGCAGTGATTGGGCTAAACCAGTGGTCTCCAAACTGCAGCCCTTTACTTGGTTTTATCTGGCCCTTGGGGCACTGTTCCACTGACACCAATGATGGGGTACTATTCCTCCCACTGATACCAATGACGCAGCACTATTCCTTCCACTGACACCAATGATGGGACACTATTCCTCCCACTGACATCAACAATTGGGCACTGTTCCACTGATACTAAGGATGAGGCACTATTCCTCCCACTGACACCAATGATGGGGCACTAATCCTCCCACTGACACCAATGATGGGGCACTTTTCCTCCCACTGATACCAATGATGGGGCACTATTCCTCCCACTGATACCGATGATGGAACACTATTCCTCCCACTGATACCAATGATGGGGCACTATTCCTCCCACTGATACCAATGATGGGGCACTATTTCTCCCACTGACACCAATGATGGGGCACTATTCCTCCCACTGATACCAATGATGGGACACTATTCCTCCCACTGATACCAATCATGGGGCACTATTCCTCCCACTGATTCCAATGACGCAGCACTATTCCTTCCACTGACACCAATGATGGGACACTATTCCTCCCACTGACATCAAAATCGGGCGCTGTTCCACTGATACTAAGGATGAGGCACTATTTCTCCCACTGACACCAATGATGGGGCACTAATCCTCCCACTGACACCAATGATGGGGCACTATTCCTCCCACTGATACCAATGATGGAACACTATTCCTCCCACTGATACCAATGATGGGGAACTATTCCTCCCACTGACACCAACGTTGGGGCACTATTCCTTCCACTGATACCAATGATGGGACACTATTCCTCCCACTGATACCAATGATGGAACACTATTCCTCCCACTGACACCAATGATGGAACACTATTCCTCCCACTGATACCAATATTGGGGTACTATTCTTCCCACTGACACCAATGATGGGGCACAATCCCACTGATACCAATGATGGGGCACTATTCCTCCCACTGATACCAATGATGGGGCACTATTCCTCCCACTGATACCAATGATGGGGCACTATTCCTCCCACTGACACCAATGATGGGGCACCATTCCTCCCACTGATACCAATGATGGGACACTATTCCTCCCACTGATACGAATGATGGAACACTATTCCTCCCACTGACACCAATGATGGAACACTATTCCTCCCACTGATACCAATATTGGGGTACTATTCTTCCCACTGACACCAATGCTGGGGCACTATTCCACTGACACCAATGTTGGGGCACTATTCCTTCCACTGATACCAATGATGGAACACTATTCCTCCCACTAACACCAATGATGGAACACTATTCCTCCCACTGACACCAATGATGGAACACTATTCCTCCCACTGACACCAATGATGATAGTAAACTGGCCCTTTGTTTAGAAAGTTTGGAGCCTTGGCATAGATCACCCAGAAGGGATTGTTGTTGTTTTTTTTTGTTCTCCACAAAAGGTAAAGATACAATTTAAATGGCCTCAGTGGTCGGTGGTAGGTTTGGTTTTGTTTATCAACAAAGCCATCATTATGACCCTTCACCATTCTCCATTTCATGACTGAACTGTCTGCGTCTTTTATTTCTTCGTTGACACTTGTACCCTCGGTCATTATAGCGCCTCAAAAAATACATTTTATTTGATAGTGAAGATGGTCCTAGGTAGAATTTTAGAACAACCAGGTGATGTAAAGTAACTTACTTGCCGATAAGTGGGACACTCAGAGACGTTTCAGGAACCTTTTGGGCAATCAGGAACAGGAAGACAACCTGAGCAAGGAGAACCGAGATGGAGGTGGTACATTTCTGACCACCGGCTGAAAGTAGACAAAGATGGGACGGTGACCAGAAAGAACTTCTTGTCCATTTCAGATGATCAGCTTAGCACTTTTACTGGACCAGTCTCCCCATAATGAATATTATAGTTAGAAATGAATTCTGAGGACCTTACTCAAGCTCTGGCTTTTACCTTTTTAGGGAACTCTCCAATGAAATCTGTATTTTCTCTCCAACATGGAGACTAACTCCTCTGCAACATCAAAATAAAACTCCACCAGGGAGAATGATAATCCTTCGCAATGATGGCAGTAGGTAGGTGGATCTGGGAACTTAGGTTTGAGTCTCCACCACTGGTGACTCACTAATACTCTTGGCCCTCATGTACCATACACAAGACCTAGACTTCCGACATGGAGAACAATTCCGACATAGAGATGAAACCTGGATTAACTCTTCATTCATGTTGGTAAAACTCTGCTGGTGCCTTAAGAAGACCATAAAGGTTTGTGATTTGTAGACAAACTCTAAATTACAAAAAAGCCTATGAAAGGTACCAGGGGCACTTCATGGGGCCCCCTACTGACCTCGGGCACTGCCCGAGTTCCCAAATGGTCAGTCCGCCCTTGCTTCCACCCCATTCTGAATGCTGGGACTGACCTGAAAGCTCCCCACCTTGAATTATCGTCACGTTTTTCCATGGTGTTGGCGGTTGGCCGCCTGCACTATCCAAATGCATGTGTGCAAAAACTACGAACACCCCTGGCGACCCCATATGGCACGGTGTATCATAGACAACTGCCATTTTTTTCCACTAAATACTGTCTTCGCCTTTTTTCATACTTTTTTTTTCCCATCAGCAGGGGGTGTGTTGACCACTACAGAGAGACCACTGCTTCCACACAGGGAGCAAGGGTCCTTCTTTGCAGCACACTGGCAGAGAACAGGATTCTTTCTCAAGAAAATGACCTGCAAAGTTAAGCTGGAAGTGTACCTGGGCAGGTTTTTTTTACCAACTACATTGAAATGACTATAATAACTAAAAAAGGGACCTAGATCCTTCAAGGTCAGTCCCAAAGAACGACAGCCACCCTTATAAGGCACAGTCTAATCTGCATTAAAAGGGAAACCTTTCTGACTATTTGTGGCAATTTATTAAATGGCTGCCCATTAAAGACCGATATTTGAGTGTTTTGGTAGATGATGGAGAGTGAAAAGCATCAACACTTTGTTTTAATGCTTGAGGACCCTATTGGTGAGAGCTATGCACTGAGTTCCTGGGTCCACACTTCTGCTGTGTCCACCAGACCATTCTTTGATGGATTTTATTTATTTATTTATTTATATATCTTCTATGGACTGTAATGGGAGGGGCTGTAGCACACAACGATTGTCAGAGATACCTAAATGTCCCAGGTGGACTGGAATTGTGGCAGGCAGATCTCACTGAAGGAGCATCCAAAAGATATAAGACTTGGAAAAACCATCTTTAACTAAAATATCACTTTTGGGTGGACTGTCCCTTTAAATATATAGATCACCATGCTATTACTGTATGTATTTTCTGGAAAAAAAATCAGTTGCCCTCATATGTAAAAACACAAAAACCTTTTTGAAACACTAAACTATACCTGCTAAAGCCAGTTCATGTGGAGGTCTAGTCTACGGGAACTATCCACATCTGCAGGTTCAATAGAATTTATAGTGTTTTTGTACATATTTTCTTTTCTTATTTATTTAGGGTCAGGGCTTAAAAAATGTTTTACTTTTCAAATAAATATAAAATATAGCAGTATAATTATGCACAGTCCTTCATCCAGCCAGCAGGTGGCGATGTAGTTTCTTTTTGACATATTTAGCTGTGTTAACTTTTAGTTGTGCTGGTAGAAGCCTGCTATTTACAGAACTGAGCCATCATGGCAGAGGTTCCTCCCTTATCAGACAGCTCAGTATTGGTTTCAGTAGCTTCATCTGTTGTGTTTTCTCTTTAAAAACCCATAAGTCTGGGAAATCCTCTATCAAGTGTTTATTTTTTTATTTGTACAACAAAGTTTGGAGGTTCAAAAACAAAACAAAACATAAAACAACTCTTTAAAAGATGCAAAGCAGACACTGCTCCAAACTTCCACTATTACAATATCAGGTGCTGGCCCTGTCTGTCACAGGCTCCATGGTAAAAAAGAAGGAAAATTTGGTTGGGTGCACGTCCAATAATATTTTGGTTAAATGGCCAATAATTCCCACAGACACACTCCAAAGACTTGAAAGTCTTCCCAGAAGAATGGAGGCAGGTATAGCCACAAAAGGGGAGGCCAGCTTCATATTGGTCATAACGGTCATGGTTTTAGACTGAGATGCTCAACATGCTTGTATAAGTGTGATGGTCAGATGCCCCGAAACCTTTAGTCACATAGTAGCATAACTGTTTTCAGACAGTTTAATTTTAGTTTAGGTTTTATACATCTTTTAAAAAGTTGTAAAAAGAAGGAAAGCTGGTTGGCTGCACGTCTATCAGGGCTCCAGGGTATGACCAGAGGTATGTGACTGACGCAGGGAAACGCAGGCTTCAGATAAGTTATAAACAATATAATGTATTCAAGACTAACAATACAAACATAAACGCAGTGCAATACTAAAACATAACACAGTGCAAACGAACCAAACCACCCACAGATAATACATACAATGCAAGCGTCGTCAGGCAGGCCGAGTCAATAACAAACGGGCAGGTAGGAACAGGAGGAGCAGGCAGAGAGTAGTCAGGTCACGAGCCGGGTACAGCAACTAACAGGCAGGTAGGTACAGGGGGGTCAGGCAGAGAATGGGCAGGGTCACAAGCCAGGGATCAGAACAGGAGAAGTCAGCAGAGGTCCAGATCAAGCAGGGTCAGCAACAAGACAGGAACAGGATGCAGGAACAAGATACAGGGCCCAGGAAAAACACACACCAAGGCCGAGTCTGCAAGTCTGGCCATCCCTTAAATACACCAGCATAAGCAGTTTCAGGTGTTTGGCTGGCTGCAGGGTTGAGTCTCTGATTGCTGGGAGCACCCGCTGGCCAGCCCTGGTACTGCAGCCCATAAGGCAGGTGAGTCCCCACCATTGCTGGCCAGTCCATTCCTGACAACGTCCAAGAAGGAAAGCTGGTTGGCCGCACATCCAATAATATCACCTTTTTTCGCTTAATCGCAAGCTATCATTAAGCGCTGAACTTGACGTGGAACACGTTAGCTGGACCTGCTGTCTTTCTACCATATATTTGGAGATACTTTTATGAGATTTCAGTAATAAAGGTGATATTATTGGATGTGCGGCCAACCAGCTTTCCTTCTTGGACGTGCGGCTAACCAGCTTTCCTTCTTTTTAAAACTTTTTAAAAGATGTATAAAACCTAAACTAAAATTAAACTGTCTGAAAACAGTTATGCTACTATGTGACTAAAGGTTTTGGGGCATCTGACCATCACACTTATACAAGCTTGTTGAGCATCTCAGTCTAAAACCATGACCGTTATGACCAATATGAAGCTGGCCTCCCCTTTGTGGCTATACCTGCCTCCATTCTTCTGGGAAGACTTTCAAGTCTTTGGAGTGTGTCTGTGGGAATTATTGGCCATTTAACCAAAATGGCATTTCTGAGGTCAAGTACTACCTATATCTTCCTATTGACAGGCCTGCATTAATATGGCCATGTAGCCATTGTGGCTACAGCAGCCTCCACTCTTCTGAGAATTTTGTTTCTTTCACAAGTGTGTCTGGGGTGATTTGTGCTCATTTGGGTGTTTGGGTACCAATATTGGAGAAGACCATATTATCACAAAGCTTTAGGTTAGGGCTTTGAGGGCCACTCAAGTTTCTCCACACCAAACTCATGAAGCTATCTCATAAGCAGGAGCAAAGTCATGCTGAAAGGCCTGTCCTCAAACTGTTGGCACACGGTTAGAGGTGTACAAACTAAAATGCTGTACCCTTCACTGGAAACACCAGAACTTCAAATCTGAGGGGATGCTAGCCATCTAATGTATTTTCCTCCCATTTCAAAGGGTCCCTTCATTTCTCTTTTGGTGACCTAAGATCCTTCTCACTGAATCTTATAAGCCATATGTTTATCACTTATTGCTTACTCCATCTCAGCCCACCTGGTGGTTGTCTCACCTTTGGCTGGCAGGAAATAGACCAACACTACCAAGGAGGAGATGAGGACACACGGTACGATGATGTTGACAATGTAGAAAAGAGGCTTCCTTTGAATAATAAGCCCAAAATTAATCTCCTGATATTGAAGGTCGTCCTCCGTATAGCGATGGTTTAGATACTTCCATGCAGGGCAGTGCTTTATTGCCCATTCACCATTTTCTGAATGCGGCAGGAAGTGATAGATGAAAAAAACCAACAAGAGGTTAATGGATGGACTACTAAAAGTGGAAGATGGGAAAGCAAAATAGTATGATATTACCTGTGAAAGCCTCAGGGTCAATGTCCACCCGCTCCAACAGCTCCCCGCTCTCGGTAAAAGCCAAAAGAAGACTGATTTCTTTAGAGTTGTATGTTTTTGATCTACAGGAAGGGGGCGCCCAGGAGGTATGTGAAGAAATACACAATGATATGTCAACAAATGAATACATTCTGTTTTCATCTAAAATTCTTTGCCTGTGTTAGAGTGTAAGCTCCTGTGGTGCAGAGACTGATGTGACTCGCTCAGTGTTCTCTGTACAGCATTGCAGTTTATGTCACAAAAATATACACTATATTGCCAAAAGTATTGGGCCAGCCCTCCAAATTTCTCTTTGATAACGTGCTTGTAGCATGAAACGCGTTAGGGTGGAGCCTAGCCAGTGACGTCACGCCGCTCGGGCCACGTGGAGGCCGGCGGCCATCTTTATTCCTGTCATGTGAATGTACTATCTTATGTGATTCATAAATAAATTGGAAATACTAAACTATCGAGATCTTTTCTTGGGCTCGTTTTATTACGAGCCCCCCCCATTTCAAGGTGGATCCCTGTTTTGGTACCCCATACCTATCATTGTGAGGTTTTCCATGGTGGATGGCATAGCATCTATGATACTTGGATCGTGACCCCCTGCTGGATGACTGAGTAATATCACATGGAGAGAGATGACACAGTGATCACTGTCATGCTGCTGGTTTGCCAGATGATCTCCTGACCCTTGCCTTTCCAGACCCAGATGACCAGGAGTGGTCAGACAACTCAAAGGTGCATAGATATGTGCTATCTGGTCAGTGCATTATATACTCATTCGCAATCACGGGAGTCACTGATTTCACCATTGTTTGATTTTTGGACATTATTTGATTATATGTCACTTAGTGCACTTTAAACGTCATTACCATAGACGTTTAACACACGTCATTATTTTAGCGCTCCACAGCGCACTTATATGTATTTATGTCACATTATTGCTTATTTATACTTTTTGAACATAGCGCTGCATTTTTTCACAATTTTCACATCAAAGGTTTAGAGTTTATACCTGTATGCTAACTGCTCATTTCTCACTTAATACTAGCGCTCGTATATCCCCTTGTTTTACTACATGTGATTGTTCCAATCCCCTATACCATGTGATTCAGGTGTTCCAATCACCTCCATGGACACAGGTGTATGCAATCAAGCCCCTAGGCATGCAGACTGCTTCTACAAACATTGGTGAAAGAATGGGTCGCTCTCAAGAGCTCAGTGACTCCAAGTGTGGTCCCGTGATAGGTGGCCACCTGTACAATAAGTCCATCCGTGACATTTCCTGGCTACTAAATATTCCACACTCAACTGTTAGTGGGATTATAACAAAGTGGAAGTAACTGGGAACAACAGCAACTCAACCACCAAGTGGTAGGCCACGTTAAATGACAGAGCGGGGTCAGTACAGCGCACAGTGTGCAGAAGTCACCAACTGTCTGCAGAGTCAATAGCTAAAGACCTCCAAACTTGGTGTGGCCTTCAGATTTGCACAACAACAGTGCGTAGAGAGCTTCATGGAATGGGTTTCCATGGCCGAGCAGCTGCATCCAAGCCTTACATCACCAAGTGCAATGCAAAGCGTCGGCTGCAGTGGCGTAAAGCACGCTGCACACTGGACTGGAGCAGTGGAGACGAGTTCTCTGGAGTGACCAATCACGCTTCTCTGTCTGGCAATCTGAAGAACGTGTCTGGATTTGGCGGTTGTCAGGAGAACGGTACTTGCCTGACTGCATTGTGCCAAGTGTAAAGTTTTGGTGAAGGGGGAGATTATGGTGTGGGGTTGTTTTTCAGGGGTTGGGCTTGGCCCCCTAGTTCCAGTGAAGGGAACTCTTAAGGTGTCAGCAAATCAAGACATTTTGGACAATTTAATGCTCCCAACTTGGGAACAGTTTGGGGATGACCCCTTCCTGTTCCAACATGACTGCCACACCAGTGCACAAAGCAAGGTCCATAAAGACATGGATGAGCCAGTTTGGGTGGAGGAACTTGACTGGCCTGCACAAAGACCTGACCTCAACCCCAATAGAACACCTTTGGGATGAATTAGAGTGGAGACTGTGAGCCAGGCCTTCTCCCCCAACATCAGTGCCTGACCTCACAAATGTGCTTCTGGAAGAATGGTCCAACCTTCCCATAGACACCCTCCTAAACCTTGTGGACGGCCTTCCCAGAAGAGTTGAAGCTGTTATAGTTGAAAAGGGCGGGGCCAACTCAATATTGAACCCTACGGACTAAGACTGGGATGCCAATAAAGTTCATATGTGTGTAATGGCAGGAGGCCCAATACTTTTGGCAATATAGTGTATACTAAATGTATAGTAATAGTGTGTGACTGCGGTGGGATGTTAGAGTGTAAGCTTCTCTGGTGCAAACACCGTGACTGGCTCAGTTTTCTCTGTATATCACTGCAGATTATGCCAGAGCTACAATATATACACCAATCAGCCATAATGTTATGACCACTAACAGGTAATGTGAATAACATTGATTGTCATTTCAGTACACATGACTGTCAAATTGAATGTCATTATGCCTTTAAGTGTTTCATATTATTGGAGCTGATGCTTCCCTTTCCAAAAACATGGGCATGCATAAGAAGGGCCATATTTCCCAGAAATAGCATTGCAGCTCTAGCCTCAACTTCAAAAGGCAGATCACATTATGATCTTTTGAGTGAGTCAGGACCCACTGTTGGCGAACCAACAGGGTTGAAGTTATCCAAGCTAACTGATCAACACTAGGGAGTTACAGAGATGGGCACAGTCTATCAATGCTTAGATTGGAGAAACTGAAAAATTATCTGGTCAATACAAGGGCACCGTGCAAAGTGGGTGGGTACATTAGACCCTAAGTTCGCGCTTCATGTTTTCCGGCTTCAGTACTTCGCGGTCAGCAGCCACATTGTGGAAAGGAGTGTTGTTTCATGTTGATGCGCAAAAGAGAAGGATCCCTGCATGTCATTGTAAGAGATGACAGTTGACTCAGAGTACTGTACATACCACGGGCTTTCATAAAGGCGCGTGATTGGTTTCCGGTGTGACATCGACCAATAAGAGTACGAGTGGATTTATCCCTGTGAGTTGATTGTCTGCGCAATTGCAGCCTCACTTAGCATCTTCCCTTGTTGTATCTCGCCAAGTCTTGTCCATGATGTTTACATATTTAAAAATTCTTGTACAGTACCCGCATACACAAAAGAGCTCCTAGGAGCAAATACTTGCTGAAAAAGCTTTTGCGGGATTGCTGGTTCCCCATAGAAAGCGGGACAGTGCATCACAGTTTATTGTGTATAGGGCTGAGTAGGTGCAGACCAGTCAGGATGTCCATGCTGACCCGTGTCCACAGCCAAAATGCCTACAGTGGGCACGTGAGCATCAGAACTTGACAACGGAGCAATAGAAAAAGGAGGTCTAGTCTGATGAATGATGTTTTCTTTTACACCATGTGGATAGCCAAGTGCATCTAAGTCACTTAGCTAGGGAAGAGAAGGCACCAGAATGCAGTATTAGAAGAACACAAACCGTCAGATGGTGCCAGATACCACAGCATACCTTCATAGGGCTAGTTCAGTCCATGCCACAATGGGTCAGCGCTGTTTTGGCTGCACCCAATCAATAGTAGGTGGGTGGTTATAATGCTATGGCTGATCAGTATAAATGTGCTGTATATTAATAATAGTATGTGAATGTGGTGGGGACATGGGAGTGTAATCTCCTCCAATCCAGAGATGTCACTGACTCAGTGGTCTATATAAAGTACATTGATTGCTCACCTGAACACCAGTGTGCAGTTCTGCCAATCAAAAGGGAAGTAGGTGACCTCCACAGCGCAGGCACTCCGAAGATGGCCGGCGGGAGCCAATACATGTAGCCGGAGTTATATATCAGGACGTTGGCGTAATACGCCACTTCAAACTGGCCATCGATGCTGAAAAACAATATGATAGGCAGTTACAGAGCAGGATGGCCCCTTTTCATAGAATCAAATTTCTTTTAAAATCTTTTAGATTTGTATGAGGTCCTAAAAAGCTTAATATAATTAGGGTCATAACATGCTCAGTGTAACCCTAACACCAAACCTAGTGCTAACCATTGCTCAGCTAAACTTCTTGTATGTTCCTCGTTTCTGCGCTTAGTCATAAACTATCCTGCACCTAGCGCCAACATCTCGCCACTAGAAACTCTCGCTGTTACCTACCCTCACCTTCTTCCATTGAAAATCTATGACTGCTGTTGGACTGCTTTTCCCCAGAAAAACAGGTGGTGAGGCATTTGCTTGTCCTTGAACCCTCTGTGATCCACCAATGGTCTTCCATGTGAATCATTTGATGACCAAAGCACTTGTGACTTACACTTTCCCCTCTTCTGGCTGTTTATACCAAGATTTGATAGCAAGATGGTACACCTTCTAAATCTGGCAATAAATGTTTTTGATGGTCTGAGCACCCATGGTTGCTACCAAGGCAAGGTCCTATAGCAGCCTTTTTCAACATTTTTAACACAGAGCAGCCATTAAAAAACGTTCAGGTCTCAGCGAAACCTCTGACAATATTTGTACCATATCCACAGCTCACGGTACATCAGTGTGATGGTCAGTGGGCAGAATGTCCCTGACATTGGTGGCTATAGACAGAATGCTCCTCACTTTGACAGCTAGTAGGAAGATTTCCCCTGACACTGACTGCCAGTGGGAAGAATGCCCCTCATGTTGGTGGCCATTGGGAATAATGTCCCTGGGTTATGATATCAGGTTGAAGTATACTGTAGAGTGGGAGCAGATATGTGTGGATCTGCAGAGAACCCCAGACTCAAAAAACTTAGTGACAGGGGCGGACTGACAACTCATGGGGCCCCCAGGCATCATGGGGCCCCTGTGTCCCTCAAAAAAGCCTATGAAAAAGGTACCAGGGGCATCTCATGGGGCCCCCTACTGACCCCGGGCCCTCGGGCAGGGCCCGAGTTTCCAAATGGTCAATCCGCCCCTGCTTAGTGAAGGTAAATGTGATTTATTAGGGAAATACCACAAGTGGCAAGCACAACAATAAATACAAACATCCAAATGTACACAAAATACAAAACCTGGCGAACCAATACAAAAGTGGACCTAATCACTAAGCAAAATTACCTAAATTAAGCTATGTACAGATGGCAGGATAAATAGGATATAGTAGGATCAGGCTGAGGAGCAAGGAATGAGCCAGAATGGGGAGAAGGTACACAGAAACAGGTACAAGCAGGCATGAACAAGCACAAGGGTAACACAGGCAAAACACTTTCTAAATATCCTCTCAGTAGCCAGCATCAGGTGGGGACTATGTTCTAAATGCTGGGATCTGTTGGCTACTGGCAGTCACCCACTGGTGGACACCAGGACAACACCCTTCATATCCGGGAACCACCACCAGCCTTCAGTGCCACCAGCAGGTGATCGAGTTCATGACATTAGTGGTAAGTGGGCAGAATGCCCCTTATATTGGTGGCTTTTGAAAGGGCCAGGGGAAAGAATGTGTCCCTGATATTGGTGGTCATGGAAAGGAATGTCCTTTATAGTGTGGGCCAGAGGAAAGAATATCCCTGATATTGGTGGTCAAGGAAAGGAATGTCCCTTATAGTGTGGGCCAGAGGAAAGAATGTCCCTGATATTGGTGGTCAGGGAAAGGAATGTCCCTTATAGTGTGGGCCAGAGGAAAGAATGTCCCTGATATTGGTGGTCAAGGAAAGGAATGTCCCTTATAGTGGGGGCCAGGGGAAGAATATCCCTGATATTGGTGGTCATTGTCCCTTATAGCCAGTGATAAGTAAGGAATGTCCCTTATAGTGTGGGCCAGGGGAAAGAATACCCTGATATTGGTGGTCAGGGAGAGGAATGGTGTGGGCCAGGGGAAAGAATGTACCTGATATTGGTGGTCACAGAAATGCCCCTGACATTGTTGGCCAGTGGTAAGTATCTTCCTTACATTGGTGGTCAGTGGGAAGAATGCTTATTACAATGATGGCCAGTGGGAAAAATGTCCCCTGACATTGATGGTCAGTGGGAAGAATGGCCTTGACATTAGTGGGCAGAATGCCTCTGACATTGGGGGCCAGTGGAAAGAATGTCCCATTGTTGGCCAATGGGAAGAATGTCCTTAACATTGGTGGACTCTAGAAAGAATGCCCCTTAAAGTGGGGGTTGATGGAAAGACTGCCCCTCTTAAAGATAGCCAAAAAGACCATTGGTGTCAGTGGTAACTTACCCGAGAGGCAGAAATTGCCCTTTTCTCAGGGAACCCCAATAACCTCTGGAGGAGCTATAGGGTTCCACAGAACTCTGCTTGAGAAAGGTCACCCTACAGGGTCCAGTCTTCAGCTGAAAAGCAGCATTGGTGGCATTCTTTTTTTTTTTTTCTGAAACCAGTGTTTGCTATTAGCTTTTCATTAAATCTGAAAGTAAAACTGGAAGCCAAAGCAGACAGCCAGCCTTGAGGGGCCTTTTGCTAAAAATCTTGAGAGCCACGTTGCTGTAGACGACCTTCTTTATTTTTACTCACTTGTTTTCCAAAACGATGTCCGGCAACCAAACCATGTCAGATGAAACCCGTAAGATTTCTATCCCGCCGTAGTCTGAGGTATTCCAGGTGAGTCGGTAGTCATCCCATTCCTAGGAGAAATCAAGATATTTGACACTTCCAGAAAATACTGCAAACTGTGCTACAATTAGGTCTGATATACTGAGGGGTCAAGGGTCAGATCCTACTGAAAGAACTGAGGGAAGCAATAGTGCCCATTGAAGGATTACACATCTGAGTTATTGCAGTATGGATTGCCTGAAATAAATTCTGATGTGACTTGCACATTCTTATACACCTGATGTTCAGTGTTTTCATGTCGGTATTCCATACACAGATTGGAGACTTGCCGACACACAGATATAGGTGTGTCATGCGTGTGTAATGACATGTTTGTCGTTACCTTTTTGTCTGAGTATAGATCTATGATTGCTCCAAGCATGTTTTTATTCACATACTGTTGATTACCTCTACGGGAAGTCTATATAAACTACTCTTTCAGCAAAATAATACTTTCCAAGGGTGAACTTTCCTCCCGCTAGCTTGACATTATGTCCATGTGTTACTGAGCTCAGCTTTTTATTGAAAATACTGCCTTACTAAACCTCATTCATACCCTTTATGTATTTTATGGTTTATATCGTGTCTCCCTATCCTGGACACTGTACACATAGTTACATAGTTAGTCTGGCTGAAAAAAAAAAAAAAACGAAAGTCCATCGAGTTCAACCATTAAAAAAAAAAAAGTTATAATCCTACACCCACAGTTGATCCAGAGGAAGGCAGGCCATAGATGGGTCGAAAATCGGCTGAAAAATTCGTCCAAAAGAATAATCGGCTGATTTTTGGATCGTTAGTGGGTGAATTTTTCGTCGGCCGTTTTTCATGATTTTGACACATTTTTTTAATCGGTCATGTTGGGAAAAAAAATGGGCGATTTTGTCGATCGGACGATTTTCACGACAATGATGGGCAAATCGGCCGATCTTTTTACTGATTAAAAAAAATGCGCATGAGCCGTGACCTGCGAGCAAGAAGAAGGAAAATAAGAAAAAGAAGAAGATGAAGACAAAGAAAAAGAAGAAGAAGAAACATCTGTATCTATTTGTATCCATTTCGGATACAGATGTTTCTATTCAGATACAAATAGATACAATGTTGCAACCGCAATACTTTTTCAATGTCAAATATAATAGCGGAGCTCCCTACAGGGACCCTCTGCTATTATTTTTGACATTTAAAAGTATTGCGGTTGCAACATTGTATCTATTTGTATCCGAATAGAAACCTCTGTACCTGAAATGGATACAAATAGATACAATGTTGCAACTTTGCTATACTTTTAAATGTCAAATATAATAGCGGCGCTCTCTGCAGGGACACCGCTATTATATTTGCCGGCCGCAGACGGGACGAAAATCAGCCGATTTTATTTACCAATGGTAACGTCGGCCGATTGAACGACCGATTTTTCTTTTTTTAAAAAAAAAAAACGGCCGGTTTTCGCCCCGTCTATGGCCTGCCAAAGGCAAAAAAAAAAAAAACAGCAAAGCATGATCCAATTTGCTCCTGCTGGGAAAAAAATTCCTTCCGGATCCCCCGAGAGGCAATTGGATATTCCCTGGATCAACTTTACCTATAAATGTTATATCCAGTTATATTCTGTACACATTCAACCAGTCGAGAACAGACTGGCAAACTTGCATATTATACAGTCATGGCCGAAATTGTTGGCACCCTTGATATTTTTCCTGAAAATCAAGTATTTCACACAAAAAAAGGTATTGCATTAACACATGTTTTGCTATACACATGTTTATTCCCTTTGTATGTATTGGAACAATATAAAACAGAGGCAGAAAAGCAAATATGACATAATGTCACACAAAACCCCCAAAAATGGGCTGGACAAAAGTATTGGCACCCTTAACTTAATATTTGGTTGCACACCCTTTGGAAAACATAACTGAAATCAGTCGCTTCCTATAACCATCAATAAGCTTCTGACACCTCTTCACCCGGAATTTTGGACCACTCTTCCTTTGCAAACAGCTCCAGGTCTCTCTTATTGGAAGGACAAAAACCTTTTCCCAACAGCAATTTTAAGATCTCTCCACAGGTGTTCAATGGGATTTAGATCTGGGCTCATTGCTGGCCACTTCAGAACTCTCCAGCGCTTCTTTGCCATCCATTTCTGAGTGCTTTTTGACGTATGTTTGGGGTCATTGTCCTGCTGGAAGACCCAGGATCTTGGACGCAAACCCAGCTTTCTGACACTGGGCCCTACAGTGCGACCCAAAATCCTTTGGTAATCCTC